ACTATCGATTCCTGTTCTAAACGATTCTCAATTCCGATTCTTTGAGGTGCAGGAGAGAAAAAAAAAAGATAATTTTTTATCAAATTTTATTTCATAAGTACTTTTCCTGCCATAAGGCAACAAAGTGCTTTACATAAAAACAAATTAAATTAAAAAACAAGGAACACGAACACACACACACACACACACACACACACACACAAGCGGTGTTTATGTGGCACCGCCCACCACCATCTCAGAGCGGCTGAAATGTAAACACGTCTCTGTAAACCGCTGAAAAACGGCTAAAGTGAGAATACTGGAGGATTATCGTTGGACGGACTGACAGATTTGACCAAAGCACAAGGACTCGTGCATCGTGTTTTCGGAGTTTTTTACGGATTATTACATGGAGGAGAAGCAGGACTTTTTGCGGTCCTCGGCAGGTGGACAGCGTGTTTCCCTTCTTCATCATTACAAAGGGCCTGACCAGTAACTTTAAGGTAAGGAACATCAGTTTTGGATGTGTTTGTAAAGCGAGTGATGGAACTGATGTAGCGTGAGTTTGGGGAAACTGCACCGGGCTAGCACGAGTGTTCAACCGGTCAATACGCCCGTTAAACCTCGCTGTCTGGACTCTAACTTAACCAAATAATATCTGAATTTGTCATTTGACGGATAAATGTTTGCTTCCTTTACCCCTTGACTCAGTTTTATCTGCGTTTGTGGAAAATGTGAAGATACAAGCGTTGAGAGGTTTCTTTGCGATGGCAGGAGTTAAAGGCACACCGTGTAACTCTTGGCCACTAGGGGCGCTAGACCTGCAACTTTCACGTTTAGCGCCCCTAGTGGCCACAAGCAACTCAGCACTGTCGCAAAAGTCAACAAACAGTCAGCCGGTGTCTTTTGAGTGTGTATTCAGACAGCATGCACTGGTGTGTGTGTTCAAACTGTAGAGACATGCCTACAGATATTGAGAGACTCTGCTGTGGTCAGCCTCCAGACCGCTGCATTAGTAATCTACCACACATGGACTTCTATATCCTGGATGAGGGAGTTCTGCGTCTAGCTCGTGCTGCGTGGAATGACATCTTTGCAGTCGATGACATCCAGGAACCAGGTGAAGAGCAGCGCTCATACAGACATGCAGCTTACAGCACGATCCCTTTCGCGTTTCCTCTTTTTAGCCTCCTCCGAAGGTTTAAAATTTTTCCTTGCCTCAGCCATGACCAGGAGTCGAGCAGGTGAAAAATGAGTAGCAAAAGCCTTAGCTCCATGAGTATATCAGCGCCTGTAGCGTAAAGCAAGTCTTTCTTCCAAGTCACGTGACCTGGTGGCAGACGGTCCGTCTGCTCGAAACTTACATGGGCGGTATTTCAAGAGGGCAGCCCCGCTCGGAGCATTGCAAGTGTCAAGCGCTGTATATTGGCCCAAGTATTCATATAAAATAACTCATATGTGTCAACTCTTTAGGTCACAAAGTCCGCGGTGTGCCTTTAACGGTGTGGCTGAAGCTAAATGTGGATGCAAACACGAGCGCGCCGTCTCATAAGAGCTTAATTCACTGAGTTTTTCACAAAGCGTAATAAAGCCCTGGCTTTATTACGCTGGGTGGACAGCTGCTAAGCATTTTTGAAACGTGTCCCCCCCCACCTTCCAAACGCTTCCGACGCCGCTGTGCGGGCCGCATCCGGCATTTAGGAATCGAAAAAAGAATCAAAATACAAACGTCTTCTTAACGGTTCCGGAACCGCACTTTAGGAACCGGTTCCAAATAGGAACCGGTTCTCGGTGCCCAACCCTACTGGTATTTGACCAAGAATGTGGCATATTGTTGTTTTCTTCTCTTGTTTTCTTAACTGCTGGGGCTGAATTATTCTACATTGACATGGCATTTAACAACAAATGCATTACTTTTCTTATGTAAATTAAAAGTAATTCTCAACGACTAATTCCATCTGGAATTGTCTGTGTGGATAAACAGGCAACTGAGAAACTGTTCTGTTGATCAATGTGATGTAGTTTGGTTATAGCTCATCTTTATAGGATTCATCAAGTCACAATCGTAGTCATATGTTCTTGTGTCTAACTAACAATTGTTACAATTGTAACTATGTTATTTTTCTGTCAAACAAAAGAACTACAAATTGTGAAGCTAAATGCATGAATATTTCCATAATTGTACGGCCCGCCTGCTCATTTTGTATTAAAAGAAACCTATAATCACTGCTTTTCCTTTTGCTCCTGTCTTATCTAATGTCTGTAAAACAGTCCAGACAACACAGACAAGCAGCAAAATCCTCAATTATACAAAGACAACGTTATAATTTACTCTGGGTGGCATGACTTGGTTTCAAACTCTAGAAAAAAATTGGGGAAAGTGAGGACAAGGGAGAGCACTACAGCAAACATACGATCCAAAGCAATTAGATTTCTGTGATGTGAACAAATGTAGCAGATAATATGGAATTTATTTGGAAGGGCAGGTACTTCCAAAAGGATCAATAATGCGATTAGATTTTCTGTGAAATATTGTTAAAAAAATATTTCTCCTCTGACCTCACACTCATACATGGGTAGGTCTGTGAGTTAGTCAAATTTATTTATATAGCAGATTTTTCAGACCATGATCACCACACTTTCCATTTTTGCTGTAACTTTTAATGAAGACTCTGACCCTCACCTACCATTGACTTCCTCATTGCATTCACATTGTAAATGTTTTTATAATACATGGTTATATTGCACTTTTTTTTTTTGGAAACTCATATTGGAAAATATGTCAATATTCATTCAGGCGATATACAGTGGTGATAAACTACTACTGTAGCCACAGCTGCCCTGGGGCACACTGACAGAGGCGAGGCAACCAGTGTGTGGCATCAGCCCCTCCAACCTCCACCACCGACCTTTCTCAACCCTAACCCTAACCCTAACCCACACACACCAGACTCATTCCAGGCAATGTGGGTGAAGTGTATTGCCCAAGGACACAACATCAATTTGGCACTTTACAGCTGCAGCCACCTCACTGCGACACCTGGTGTTCCCCGAAGTCTCCCATCACAGTATTAACCAAGCTCTGACCTGCTTAGCTTCAGAGGTCTGATGAGATCTGGCTTCCGCATGCAAGTATTCCCAGAACTGTTAGCATTTTTGGGGTTTTTTTCACCGCAGCACCAGAAGTAAACCTACGCAGCACATAGAGAACATTGAATCAGACCCTGGATCTTGTTGCTGTGAGGCCACTGTGCCTGTAGTGAAGCTTTTGAATAAAATCCAAGTGGTTACATCCTCCGACAAACACTTAAATCAAGGAATAAAAGTTTACGGCCCGGATACAATTAGAAAAAGGGCTTGAAACCAAGTCTATAAAACATGTTAAAACGTTTGCAAAGTTACCAAAACCTATGCGCTCTTCATGAAATGTTCTCACAGGCGTATCATCACCCGCCCTTTGAAATGACAGTATAATTATGACATAATGCTAAGAATTCACAGAGCAAACCCAGCATTACACCTCATCATGAAGTCATCGCTATTTGCAGATACATGACTCAAACCTTTTGGTAATTTGATTCATATTTCAAAGAGGAATTTTTAAAACTGACTGCTCTTTCATGTGTGTCACAGCTGGGGTGTAGTGAATATGATTTGAACCCAACAGCAAAAATAATATTTGTCTCAAGGTTACAGATGTCTTGCCCCATTCAACTGGCCCAGCATGCCTTTTATTGTCTTTAGTCTAGGTTAATCTTGGTTCATAATTTCTAGTTTATGTTGTGTTTGGTATCTCCATGCTACAATTGTTATGGTTTCAAAAGTTACGTTGTGCAACTCTAAGCAATGATTACAAAAATATTAAATTATCTGGCCCAGAGCACATTACCCCTCGAATAATCCACCCTTTGTGATAATTATGTAGAATAATCCTTATATGTGTGTACTTTTTATATATTTAAATATTATTCTAAGTCCATTTTTGGCTAAATTTAGAACTGAAAAGAGGGTATAGGAAGGCCCAGGATGATATTTTTCTTCTGGCTTAGTTCTGTAAAGTATTTTTATTTGTTTTATGCTCTATTCTTTTAAATAGAATAACCATGGCCTGTTAGATTTGCTGAAGGGATACAGTTACAGAGGTGTTTAATAATACTTTTTATTTATAATGCCCATGAAACTTCAAAGTGCTGCAGATAAAAATTACATCAAAAGTACATCAAATGTCAAATAAATATGGATTGTTAAAATCTCACAAAAGCCTGCCTAAATAGTGATGTATGTGATTTATCTCATAGTACAGGTGTAATATTACTTTCTCTCAACGGTTGTTCCACTTAACTGTCATAACGTCATGACTTCACAAACAGAAAGGAAATATGTGACCTGCCCCGGGCTGAAACGGATTTGTAATAATATGCTTAAAAATAGATACATTACGTTACAATCTGCTCATGGAAAAAAAAAAAAAATTATATTGTATTCCCATACACTGCAAATATTGATAACATTTTATTTTTACCTCAAAAGATTTGCTTTACTATCTCATTGCCAGCAGGACATTTCTTGTATAATTTTGCTGCTCCCATTGGCAAATCTTGTTATAAGGCAGTCAAAGCCAAATTTGTTTTAATCACTTTTTGCAGTGTATGAGGTGAGAGTCAGTTTGGTGTGTACGGACAAAGCCGCTTGTTATAAATCGTTTTAGATTCCCCATCACCCCTGATCTGGGTGTGTTGGGTTTTCCCATCATAGACACATTAGAAAAGTGCTTCCATTGTCCAACTGACCCTGACACTGGGAACAATAAGGAGCAGCTACATTAATAACACCAGCATGTCCTTGTTTGTATTATTGGATCCTTAAAGACAGAAACCATATCCGGTTTCGCTTTGAGAATAAAATACAGTTTGAGATAAAGAAGTGATTTGGCCTTCAGTGACAGAATTGGCATTTGAAGCGGACATTGTTCAGTGGCATATTGAGAGATCTTCTCTTTGGAAACTGATGTATTCTATGTTATGGTAGCTTCCTCCAAACGGGTACGATCAAGACAGCTGTTAGCAAGGCCTATGAACAAGACAGGAATACTTTGCCCAATTTGAAGTTTGAAGATCCATGGATGAGACGATAATTAGGTTGTACCATTATGGGTGTAAGATGCCATAATGTTCGATTACATCAATATGTGTTGGAAGAAAAGAAGAAAGTGAACAGCTAATAAATGAGCATTTTGGTTTTGTCGTAAGTATTCCCATGTTACAAGCAATATCAATAATCAAGATACAATAAAGTCTGTCCAAGGGCACCTCTAGAGATCAAATTAATTTAGATTTCCCACTGAATTGATACAAACATATGATTGTGTCTCATACTGTTGTATGGTGATGGTAATTAAAAAGTGGAACATTCTTTGTGAAAATGTTCTTAAACACATTTGAGCATTGTTCTCTTAAACCATTTGTGCCCAAAACATTTTCAGAGTGTTAATGCACATTTTATTATTAGTTGTGTGCCCTAGAATGAGGAATTTTTTTTTTTTCTTTTCAATTTTGGACCTTGCCTTGAAGAAAATAGCATTTTTAGGGCTGGCAACTATAGTTGCCGGTGGGCACATAGCTTGTCAGTACGTCATAATGGATATTATAACTGGATATAATCAACCCAGAAAGGTTGTGATCAGCCAAAATGATTGTGATTGATTCCTCCTTTATAAAATCTAAAACAACAAACAACTTGAATGGTTTCTTTATTCTAAAATACAAAACAAAAGTTTTCAAAAAGGGAAATTTCCCATTGGCAATCCAAAAAAAGGGTAAAAATATGGCATTAGCCTACAAGTACTCTCTGTTGCTTTTCTTTTTCCCAACAGAAAAAAATAACAAAGACTGATGCCAAGGGTAATTTCAATAAAGTATAGATTATCCATGTTATATAAATGTATTCTGCCCTATACACACACTCACGCAGTATGATACTTGAAGCACTCCACATGTAGCTGCACAACACAATTCTTACAGAACTTGCATTGCTTGCACTTGTACTTACTACCGCTGTTGCAGGGCCAGTGTTTGAGGTTGTTGAACCTGCTGGCATCAGCCATTCCCACTTCGTCTTACTCCAGGCGTGACCAAACTCAGGCCCCCGGGCCCTCTGGGCCACTTTATGTGGCCCTCTGCTGCTAACACAAAGTCGCCATTGAGGCACTTTGATAGTGTCATCCAACTAACTTCAGCTCCACCAATACAGTCATGATATATCTTGCTGTAAATCTCAGACACTCTGGAATCCAGTCGTTGACTCTGTTGTTATTTACTTACATTTGTTTTATGATTGTGTGGTCCTCTTACTAAAAGGTTTGGACACCCGTGTCTTACTCCATGACGCTGGAGGAGGGTCTGAGCTACAGCTATATCAAAATCCTACAGACATAGGCTTTGAATACCTGTAAATACTTTATTTAGATGTGAAGAGTAATCTAAGAGGTTTAAAATGATCCATTGTACACCATTCTGCAATTTAAAATAAGTAAATTATGAGGCACTGTTAGTAGATATACTAGGCATTGTTTTCCTTTCCTTTAGTGACATCATATGTGCCCACCGGCAACTAAAGTTGCCGTGCACAGAAACATGTCCATAAACTCAAAAATTATTTATCCCAGGTACAATGTTTTGAGGGAGGGTTACTCTAGAGACTTGAATGATCAAATAATTATTTCTATGATTGGGGGAAAAATTATTCAAAATGTATGAAAATGACCTGTTTCTGGGATGGTTTCCCAAATCTCAAGCCTGATTGCAGGACAAAATCTGTATTTTGGTGGGCAGTCAGCCGTCACTCAACAGTAAAAGCAGGCTAATCAGACCCAGCTCAGAGCACAGGGCATGTTAACCTATTTCTACTCTGGGACTACATGTTCAGAGCGGACCAGCAGCAGAGGGAAGCCCTGTGCAAACACTGAGGAGGAGGGGTAAGTGTTATTCCATATGAAAATACATGCTTTCAGCTGTGGCTCCGGGTGAACTGCATAAGGCCATGGGCAGTGAAGGAAGTGGAGTATCGCTTTAGTTGGTTTCATTAATGCTAATCATGTTATAGAGTAGATAGGCTGCCTTTCTCATCAGATATGATGCAATAACCCAATGCAGAGAGTTGATATAGAACAAACTTTCTAAATTTCAGGTTATTTGCCATTTGCAGTAAACGACATTGGAATACATGTACAAAAGTCTCCAGTTTGCACCACAATCCTTTCCCACTGGATAAAAATAAAAACACACACAAAGTTGTCCCCAGCTATACCTAAATTAATGATAACACTATGTCTCCATCTTGTGGTTAGTTATTTAAATGCAAGACTACTCAGTAAACCAAGTGCAATTTCTCCCTTTACTGACACCCAGTGGTCAGGCCCTGTATGGACTTGGGCCAAGCGCAAAATAATAAAAAATAGTCATGTTATATTCAAAAATGAACACTTGATGGGGGTAAAGTATGATACTCTGTCCAGGGTGCCACAAAGTATCATACAACCAGGCATACCATTAGGAGTAACGGTATGTCTAATCCTTTAAAAATGCTATTCAACCCTAAATTAGTTCATATTGGTTTCATTTTGCATTGATTTGTTTGGTTGTTTTCCTGAGAAAATAAGCTTTAAAATGATGTGTTACGCGTCCCATATTACAAAAAATCTAAAATGTCAATACTATTCTGCATAGGAAAACAACTAGATTTAGTCACTGATCAGGGACATTAGGTTTTAACGAGAAATATTCTACTCTGACCCAATAGGTCACGTGTAAAGACTAGAGCCTTAGGTTAAAAGTGAGTTTATGATGCAGCTCAAAGGTAGATGGACAACGTTGAATGACTAGACACGAGCATGGGAGACTTTGACAAAGCAGTGGCCTTTTTGGGTGACTGGGGGCTCTTTCAGATCATTATATTTGCTTTCTACTTTATGAGCATGGTCCCTAATGGATTTACTCTTGGGATCGTTTTTGTTGCTGACACACCAAAGCACCAATGTTTTATTCCTCAAGTCAACCTTACACAAGACTGGCTTCAAGCAATCATCCCTGTCAATGTAAGTACTGTGACAGTTTAATAGGCGTTGATAATGTTATCTTTATTACCCCAGCTAAAGTTGACTGTATTTACTGTACGTATCTCCTTACAGCTTTTGATAGATAGTATGCATTACTTTGCACCTCAGGTCGACACTTAATTGGGTTGAAAAAGATAAGTAGCTACATGAATGTAGGCATTACAAAAAGTAAATTTACAATACAGTACATGGAAACTTTTTTATGAACATCCGGCAGTTCAGTAATCTCACTTTCCCTCGTTCTAATTTTGTAAAACCAAATATTATAATTTACGAAAGGAAACTCCAGATTGCCTTTGTTAGCAACACATCCCTATCCCCGTCGGAAAAAATGCCCACATGAGAAACGATGGGTGAAGTCCGTCCTTAGTCGGTCTTCTCCTAAACTTGTCTGGTGTTGATAACGGTGGGTTAGTTGGGTTTATGTAGAATAGTATGAAGGTGAAGGTGCACTTTATTAATCCCCGTAGGGCAAATCACCCTCTGCATTTGACCCATCCTGATGCCGCTAAGACTTACGTCAGGAGCAGTGGTCGCCGTAGTAACAGCGCCCAAAGTCCCATTTCCGGATGATAATGATCGGTCAGGACTTTTTTGTCCTGACCTACAATTTTTCCTATTGTACATAGTTTTAGTGGAAAAACCGAAGCACCCACCAGCAGACCTACAGTACGCTGGCACTGAGAGAACATGTAAACTCCACTAAGAAAGACCCTGCTGCGACTTCGATTCGAACTCAGGACCTTCTTGCTGAGAAGCGAGAGTGGTTAAGATTAGGAAAATAATTAGTAAGCCAAAAGTTAGGTTGTTAGGGTGCACAGATAAATTTGGCTAATTAGTAAATTAAGTGACCGAATAGTAACAGAAGTTATATTTTATTAGCCGTTTTTGAAGATAAAGAGATTGGTTGCCATCAGGCGGTTGTACAGACTGTCTCGAGTCTATTGTATAATGTGTGTTTGTTTGTCCTGAGGTGGTGGATGGAGAGGAGCAGCGCAGCAGCTGCAGCAGGTACAGGCTGGATACAGTCTCAGACCTTTGGGCTCAGGGCTTTGCTCCTGGAGAAGTGAACCTCACCCAGCTGCAGCAGGAGCCCTGTGTGGACGGATGGACCTACAGCAAAGACATCTACCAGTCCACCATAGTCACTGAGGTACCAGGGGTCAATTTTGTTTATACTTTTTCAAAACCTAATGTACTGCATCCCATGCCTTGTGGGGATGTGACATTGACTCATTTGTCATTTCCACCAGCACTTTTTAGCCCTGATACTCCTGGTGTGGATTCCATTACACTTTGGAACCCATGGAAACTATTTTCAAAAAAAAAATGCTTTCAAGGATCCCTTCAGTCCCCTAACCCCTGATATTATACACATACAGTATACACACATACACATAAAACATAATAATATTATGTGTAATCATATATATAGACAGCAAACACATAGGTTCTTTCAAGAAGAAATGCAAATACGGGTTCCCGTTATTCATATAATGTCATTGCATGCAATGATATTTTGTAATGAATAATAATATTGTGCAATCATCTTTCAGTTTGACATCGTATGCAGTGACCAGTGGAAGCAGCCACTCACAACCACTGTATACTTTTCTGGAATTTTATTTGGCTCGTTCGTACTGGGGCAGGTCTCTGACAGGTACGTGAACCACAGACAGTAAGAGTGGACAGAGCTAACCTGACTCACTCTGGCTCACGCAGCTGGTGAGTGCATGTAGAGCGGGATGCTGCAGTTTTCTGTGCAATAAAAGGCCACAAAGGTCCTTACACGGCAGATTGCAGAGGGGCCACAGAGTGTCGCAACTTGGACTTCGATCTTGGTCATGGCTAGTTTTTCCTTTGGGCCATGACTCTCACCAGCTGCTGTGGTGCTGTGGCCTCTAAGCGCAAAAGTCCCATCCATAATGTGTTGACCCGGTTATCAAACATTAAGTAAGGATTGTGCAGTCTCAGTCCTAGGCCTGAAATACTCAATAATATGATGAAATTCCCAATACACATCCCTCACAATACAGATTCAGATTCATTTTATTTGCCATTCTCAGTAAAAACCACGTTGGAATACATTTGTCCCCAGTGTGCACCAGGCAAGGGCATAAATATAACAAGTTTAAGAAGTATAGGTATAAAATAATCTAAAAGTACATGAATAAAACAAGCTATTAAAGTGCATGAATCAATAGTCACTGAGAAATCAATCAACGAAAACAATGTCCTGTAATGTCCATTCACTCGCACATGTGACAGTTAGAGATTAGAGACACCTGATAAACCGTAGCCATCGACCATCACCTGCACCCCATCTATCCATCCATTCATTTTCTTCCCTTTTGTCCATTTCTGGGTTGGTGGGTGGCAATCAGCTGCCCCTCACTGATCCTCCTGCAGGTAAGTCCACAGGAGGATGGCTGCTCTGTCACAGCCTTGATCCTTCAGCGGGATCTTTCTTTCTGAACTTACTCTGATCTGCTTTTTCCCTTATGCAAAAATTCTGGGAGATGTCAGATCTCCTGTAGTCCAGTGTTTTTCAACCAGTGTATCGTTGCAACATGTTGGTTGGTGTGCCTTTTGAAACTAACCAATATCACTTTATTTGGCAAAATATGGGAAAGGGAAATTAAGTGAGAAGTTTTGAAAGACCTTTTTGCTATTGTTGGATTTTCTACAGTATATAACACACTTTGATGAGAATGACTTTGTATGGGGAGACAGTGGCTGAGTTGGTTGAGCATTGGCCTTTGATCCTGAAGGTTGCGGGTTAGAGCCCACTACAAAACCATCCCCATTGTCTCACACTGCTGTCTGCTGTCATTGTGTCCTTAACCACACTTTGCCTGAAGCCCCCGCTGAAAGATTAAGGCTGTGACATTACCGACAGAGCAGGCTGGTGCTCTGTGAAAGGGGTGCAGCTCTAACTGCCACCTCCCGACCCAGAAATGGATTAAGGAAGAAAATGGATGGATGGACTTTATATGTGATGCGATCTGGGAAAACCCATCACATGGTGAAATTTGACCAACTTAAGATTATGACCCCATCTTAAAGCTGCTTTCGATCTCTTTTCAAATCTGTTTTCCTTTTTTTTTTATAGTATGCCTGTGACAAAGGTTATCATTATCTGAAGTCAGCGTTTTCCCATGGTTTTATGAAACAGAATTCTGAGAAAAACAGGTTTAAAGATGGACATTCTGAATAGAATCACCACAGTCAAATTTAACATGTTTAATATGAATTACTCTGTTATGGCACACACTTCTTTTAGTCACTATGTTGTAAAAGATAACAAATGTTACTTTGGCACCAACTAAACACACAGCACTCATGAATTGGATGAAATTCAAGAATGTATTTATTCTTTCAACATTCAATGAATTGAATTTGTTTTATTTAACTTTTCCTCTTCTTTTTTCTTTCTTTCTCTTCATAAGTTACTGAACATTATATATGTATTCGACAATGCCAGTATTATTCTATCAAATCACGCAGTATAAATATCCACAACCACCAAGCATTTTTAATGCAAGGAGAATATTAGGTACCCGAGCTTTAATTTTGTCGCGCATAGGAGACACGGGGGAGACCTGGACTTGGAACAAGCTGGGGATTGTCTGAACGCGTGTCAATGGTTCTGTCTGCGTATGATTCTATCTATGGTCCTGTCAGAAGAGTGTCTATGGTCCGCGTGTTTATGGTTCTGCCCAAGTGTCTATGATCCGCGTGTGTCTATGGGTTCGGTCCGCATGTGTCTATGGTCCTGTTCGTGTGTCTATGGTCCTGTCTATGGTCCTGTCCGCATATGGTCCCCGCTCGGAGCCCCGTTACGGCAGTGCTTTCACTGAGCTGTCACAAAGCGGCCGCAGCGGCCGCAGCGGCTCCCGGGGTCAGAGCGGAGGATGTAACGTAACGTTCGGTTTATCAAAACATATCACCATTTTTAATGTATAAAACTAGTGAATTTCACCTAGATATTTTCAGAAATTAAAGACAATATGTTGTTGAATAATTAATGAAAACACAATTTAGCCAAAAAAAATGACGACATCCGACGGGTTTTCGCAGATCGCATCACATATGGTTAATAAAGGCTCCAGAGTTTAAGGTTTGCATCAGTTTCACCTGGTGGTGTGCCATGTGATAATTCTCAATGGAAAAGGTGTACCATGGTGTAAAAAGGTTGGGGAACACTGCTTTAGTCCACTCATGCTGTTTGAGCTCTATAGACTGAGCTGCATGGAACTCCAAATAGCTGACGATATACCGCTAACACAAAATGGTGTTACTTGAATGGATCAAAATGGATCCGTGACATCAGTCTACTGCTCTCTACAATGTGAAAATATCCAGACCCCTTACACATGATAATAAAATGTTTCTTCCAGATTTGGAAGAAAGCCTGTGTTTTTTGGAACCATTGCATTTCAGGCCTTGAGTATGTTTGCCCAAGCCTTTTCATCTTCCTGGATTATGTTCACAACCTTCATTTTTTTCACTGGTGTGGGACATATTGGAAATTTAGTGTCTGCTTTTGTCCTGGGTATGCATTTAAAAACAAAAAAACTTCACAACTTCACATTTACAGCTGTTGTCCTCTTATTTCGTACTCCTTTAATTTGCAGGAGCTGAGATTTTGATCGGAAGAGCTCGGGTCATGTTCACAACGTTGGGTATGGGTCTGTCCTTTGCTACAGGATACATGATGGTGCCTCTCTTGGCTTACTTTTTACGGAACTGGAAATATCTTCAGATGGCCCTGGCACTGCCCAGTCTGCTGTACCTCCCTTTCTGGTGGTAAGTTCCAAGTCAAAGAAGGTAATATTATATAAAAGTGTTTACCAGGATGCTTTTTTCTTTTCAATCCATCTGCCAGATTGTTTTACATCTATATTTATACTTACCTTTTTAGTTTTTGAAAGAGTGTAAAATGATCTTCAGCAAGTGAAGCATAATGGTTTACGTTACAAACTGTACATAACAAACAAAATGAAGGATTGGGATCATGGTTATGTAATTAATAGGAACAAAATTGTAGCGTTTTAGCCGAATCCAACAGCGAAAGAAAAGTGTAATTGTCTAGGAAGTCGTTTTTTTGTTTATTTTGGTTACCCTTTTTTTTCCACCCAAACTTTTAACTATGCATTTATTTTATATTTTTCCTTTCCAGACTTACTCATTAAACAATACCCATTCTTATGATCAGGTATAGAAAAATGACCATGAAATGAAGATGAATACACTGTAGGTAACCATTGAGCACAGCCTCTTTTTGGCTCTTTTTTGCAGTGTAAGGTGTTCTGTGTCATTATTTTTGTGTGTATGATCCAGGTTTATTCCAGAGTCTCCTCGATGGCTGCTCTCTCAGGGCCGAGTGGAAGAGGCAGAGGCCATAATGCAGAAAGCTGCTCACACAAATAAAGTCAAGGCTCCAGTCGTTATCTTTGAAGATTTTAACGTAAGACAATTTATTTGATCACTTAAATGTTTTTGATCTATTGTCAAATAAGATGTTTTACCATATAAGCAAAATATCTTTCCACTACTCATCTTGACCATATCCCATGCATACAGTATATATTCTACTCTATTCTAAAATAGGAAATACCAAGCAAATATTCTCCTTTTGGGACTACACTTTTTTATTGCAGACAGGAGATGAAGAGGCCAAAAATGAGAAGCACCACACTATGTTGGACTTGTTTAGAACCAGCAACATCAGAAGGACAACTATCATTCTGTGTCTCCTTTGGTATATCTTGTTTCTTTTTTCATTCATTCATTTTGGAAGGCCCTCTAAGTGATAAAGTGTTAGATTTACCCCAGTGTATAGGTTAAAACCATAAAATATAGTCACAATATATGGTAATTTCAACATATTGTGATACACAAAATATTGTGAATTGATATTATTGAGTATTGTGATATGGTAAGCATACTGACAATCTGGCAACTTAGCACACTCACTAATTTTTCTTCACGCTGTAACACATGTGTAGGGGACATTAGCCTCCATCGTTTCAAAAATGTCTTATTTTATATGTTGAATTGTACTTACTTTACCCAAGGAAGGCTAAGCTCCACCCACTCTGCAGCTTTATGGATTATGTCATTCAAAGACATGATATTGATGTGTAATGATTGAATTGATACTTAACCACACAATAAGAAATTGCAGCATGATATGTTGTAGCCAAAACAGAAAATAAAACTTTGAGACCAATTTCCTAATGAGTGCTTTATAATGTAGAAATTTACAATACTCTCCATATATTCTGGGCAAGGCAAGGCAAGTTTGTTGGTGTAGCACAATTCATACACAAGGTAACTCAAAGTGCTGAACAAACCAAGATAGCATCAAAATCATAAATTATCACAGTACATTCAAGTGTAATATCAAATTGTTGTATGCACATTCAAACAGTATATTTCTCCAAACAGGTTCTCTATGTGCACTGGTTATTATGGTATTTCCTTGAACACATCCAAGCTCACCCCGGACCCCTATCTGGGAAGCCTGTTCTCTGCAGCTGTGGAGGTTCCAGCTTCTTTTTGCATTTGGTTTGGTCTGAAGCACCTTTCCCGAAGAATCCTGGTGGGAGGTTCTCTGTTTATTGGAGGAGCGTCATTCCTCTTAAAACTGGCCATACCTTCCTGTAAGTCTGTTTTGTCAAGCTATTGGTCCAAACTATTTTCAAGGATGAATATACCCAATGATGATTACCACCACAAACATAAAGAGATAAACCTCCAGAGTTTGGAGGGATCCTTGTCTCTTTTCTCTATAAAATCAAACATTTAATGAGGTGTACAGTCAATTAAAACATCAGCATGTTGTTTTAAAAGTATATGGGAGAAGGTTTTTCTTCCGGATGGATCATCTAAATTCTAAACTATTGGTTCTCCTAATTGTTAATCATTCTGGTGATAAGCGAGACAAACGTTTTAAAAGGTGTCCAGTTCTCAGCCCACAGTACACATTGCTAACCAGAGTACTTATTGATTAATACAAAAACAGTATTTTAGTGTTGAAAATTGCCAATTAAATACATTTTTGAATACTTTCTGACATCACCTTCATCTACCTGCAATAATGACACATTGTATCTCAACTTGTTCTTTTCAGCGCTGTTGTGGTTGACTGTTACAATGGAGATGATAGGTAAATTTGGGTTTTCAGCCAGTATGAACTTACTGTTTGCTTACACTTCTGAGGTCTTCCCAACGGTACTGAGAAATACAGCTATGGGGATCTGCTCCACATCCTCCCGAGTGGGAAGTTGCCTCGCCCCATTCATCTTACAACTGAGTGCGTATACTTCTACCAGTAATCAGATTTAAAGTTGAATTATTATATTATTTTATATCATACAGATTTCTATTAATCTATAATTCTAGGTTTGAAATCAACATACCTACCCCCTCTGGTGATGGGGTTGTTAGCAGCCGTGTCCTCTATCGCAGCCGCCTTTCTTCCAGAGACTTATAAACAGTCATTATCTGAAACTATTCCAGAAATGCAGCAATGTAAAGGGTTTGTACACATACTGTACTACTTTTACATCATGTGCATCTGCAAAATAGAAATCAGGTTGCTGTACATACACTTGTTCATAGTACGCCTTTTCATGTCAAATGTTTTCTCTTTTCTAGGATACACTTTCCCTGCTTGGTCAAAAAGGAAAAACAACCAAATGATATTGTCCGAATGGAGTCAAAATTATGATTGGACATTGTATTATCATATTTTTCCTGGTTTTTAGAGTGTCTTGGCTGCCTTCTGGTGGCCATGTAGTATATTTCCTGATCTGTGCATGTTTCTTGATGGCTCACTCCATCTCGGTCCTGCACCCGAGCTCTTGCACCACTTTTCTCACCACCACTCATTTTACAATAATTTTCTCCAATATTCACGCCCACCCATTTGTGATTTGGGTGGCAGCTCTGATTGCCACCCCCCACCCCAAGAATGGAATAATAAAGGCGATTAAAAATGGACATGACATTCACACCCATACACCCTTTTTCAACATGATAAACACATACATGGGCGGCAGGGTGGCTCAGTGGTTAGCGCTTGTGCTACACAGCAAGAAGGTCCAAGGTTTGTTTCCACCTCCAGGCCTTTCTGTGTGGAGTGTGCATGTTTTCTTCGAGTCCGTGAAGGCTTCCTCCATGTGCACCGGTTTCCCCTACCACTAAAAACATGTGCAATAGATCTGGCATACACCTCCTGTATGGCGACCTCGCTCCCATCTCTGTGTATTGCTTATTGCTTTACAACAAATTGTAAAGCAATAAATCTTCATCTATCAGAACCCTGATGGTGATTCAGGTTATTTGAACAACTCCCCATATATTTACGCAACTAATGCTATTGTCATTTTACCAAACAGTGAGATCTTTATACGACACAGTCATCACGACCTGGACTTGCACCAAGTTGTGGTTTATGCTGATAAATTGCAAAGATATATTCTGGGAACAATACAATGATTATGCATGTATGTATTTATAATACCTATTAAGTATATTATGTGTTTGTCAGGTCAAACATTTACTGTCCTTATATGAACAAGATCAATAAAGTATTTGGTCTTTTATGAATTTATCTCTATTCTCCAATACACACAGAAGCAAGGCACTAGCAGTGAAAAATCCTCTCCACTCTAAGAAAGTTCATAGTAACCTAGATTTCTACTTTCTATTGTGTGGAGAGTGAAACAACAGTTTACTCATTGACATAATTCGGAGAAAGCCTGCACAAATGGTTTACTTATTGTGTCATATTGAAAAGCTATGAAAATAGATTTAAATGAACGTACCAAAATGTAATGCCAGGATAAATTAGTGATCAGCAACGCCATGGAATGTACCAAAGACACACAGATCCGATAACTTCATCCTGTACAAAATAGTGGTTTATTAAGGTGAGGGCAACACCATGGAAACGTCAACCATTGTTAATAAAAATATATGAATTTCCTTTTAATACATTCGAGAAGAGTTAAAACGGCCCAATCAGGATGGGACCCAATTAGAGTGGCTGAGGCTACAGTGGCGAGTCGTGGCAAAAGAAAAAGGGGAGTTAGCGACTGGACAAGGAGTAGAACACCCCTGGCACAGCAGACACTACGAAAAAAACAAAAAAGGGGGACCTAGACTTTTCTGCGCAAACACCACCACCAGGAGTCACCAGTGCACCCACATGGAACCTCAGCTCCTAAGACAAAAGTACAGTTTAGTGCAGATACAGACACACTTTCATCGCAATACAGTACACAGTCATGTCAATGTAGAGTCCAAAATCATCTCGGTAGGCAAAACAACAGTGGGCGTTCCCCGGTCCTGTAGGCAAGAGCAGAGCCGCGGCAGAGGGGTGGAGGCCAAGCAGAAAAACACACACCTGCACCAACAAAACATGAGCACCGCTACCTTCACACACTTACCAGCGCCTCGCAGTGCTCAATCCGGTGGATCCAGTCTCCCGTGGCGCCGCGGACCCTGGAGGCAAAGCATATCCCCACAGCAAAACGCCAATACACCCCAACGAGTCTCTTGCCCTAGGCTATTTCTTGAACACCACCACTCAAAGCGTTCTCGTACTTGTACGCGAAGGCAGAGCGTGCTCTGCCTCCTGCGGTAGTTCAGCTTAGTGGTGTTCTATCCCGACTCGTGGGGCGATGGCTGTGGTCCCGGTCCAGGTCCAGGTCTAGATCCCTCAGGTGCGGTGCGATGCCAGGCCGAACCGTGCCGTGTTGTCCCGTCCACCCCCCGCGTGCTCCGCTGTCCTCCGTTGGCTCTCTTGCGTCACTCCATCCCTCTCTTACCGTCCCATCTCTCGTCTCCGCTCCCAGTCCGCCCTTATATCTCTCCTGCCCGCTAAGTCACAGGTGCACTGATTACTCTTGGAGAGCAGGCATTGGCTGAGGGTCATGTGAGGCTTGGGGCAGCAAGGCATCACATAAAACACTCATGATAAAAACAAATAAAAATATGCAACAGATAAAACCATGCAATAAAAGTTCACACTAAAAATACAATAAAACATGCCGGATCATGCGTAGCGTCAGCTTTCAATGCAAAGTCAATGGTGACGCGCGTTTGAGCGTCGAAATGCATGTGCGTCTCGGAATGCACGCACGGACTGCGCGGTAAAGATGCACGGACTGCGCGGCAAATTTGCGGGGGAGGTGCAGGAGCGGAAAATTGACGCACGCAGGGGATACATTTTGCTGAGCGTTTCCTCGGACGCTTGTGCAGCGACCAATCAGAGCCGCAAAGTGGTCACGGGGACATTAGCGGTCTAAGCGAGCAGACTGAACATACTGTAAACAGCCAAAACAGGAGCTACACCAGGACTAAACCAGGGTTGACAACGGGGACATAGTGCTTGTGAACATATGCGTTTTCATGTTCCCGTGACTTTATGCAACTGCTTCGAGCGTGTTTGCCAATGCGGAAGTACCGTTTAATAATAAAATAAACGTATGGCGCACCTCCGTGAACACATACTGCTGTTATATAAAGCAAGGGCGTAGGTTTGCGTGGGGACCATGGGGACATGTCCCCACCAATATTTAGTGAGGACTAAAAAGTCCCCACCAAAATGACATGATGTCCCGTGACCCGGACGGTCCGGGACACATGTCTTCCGTTTGTGCATACGTCGCGCCTCCTCCTCGCCTCCAGAGCAACAGCAGCAGCAGCAGCACGTGACCCGTTCCGTTCTCTCCAGTGATTGGCTGTCTTCTTCAGCGCCAAACTGAAGCACTGAGCAACTGTTTAATTTTTAAAAGTTAGCCAGCGTGAAGCAAGTGTTTTTTTTCGTTCCCTGAGCGTTGTAGCACGTGAGTAATCAGAGGAAAGTACTGTAGATCTATTACCATTCAAAGTACTTACGTTATTTCTAATCCGTCAGCGCACTGTTTAATGTTCCGAGGAGCTCACACGGCACAGAGACAGAACAGAACTGGCTCCAATAAAGAAACAGGTTGGTTGAAAGGCTGAAAAAATACTTCTTGTGCTCTTACTATCCAAAATGTATAAGTGGGTGTGTTGTGTGAATCAGGATAAACTAGGGATAAAAATATTCCACGGATCCACGATTTACAACCTTTATCTGCTGATAATGTAATTTCTGTGAAATGTGTGACAGCGGGCACTTGCTGTTATTTGCTCTAAGCACATTCAAGCGATGCACTCGAATGTGCACGTCCTGGTGCAGCTGCTGCCGCTTTGTAATGACAGCCGCGGCGCTCAGTGAAAGCACAGCTCTAACATGGTACCGAGCTCGGACCATATGCAGACAGAACCATGTTGCAAGTGCGGGTCTCCCTCGTATCTCCCCCGTTTCTCCCCTGTGTCTCTGACATGTCTCTCCCCTGACTCTTCCCAAAGCGCAACCAGCGCTCCCGAAATTAAAGCTCGGATACCTAAATTTTCCATTGCGTTAACGATGCATGCTGGTTGTGCGCAAAACACACCACAACAGGTCATTTAAGTTTTTATTTTGCATACTTGAGAGCCCTGTGAGTCATTACTTGCCTTTTTGGGTTGAGAGTGGAATAAAAAAAAGAAAATATAGAAAAATCCACACTGTTACTTATTGCCAAACTCTTGTTAACTCATTGTATTGAGAAATACTATGTAACTTTTGACATTGGCCAAGTTATATAAATGATTCTGCAGTTCATGTATATGAATGTCTGTTTTTGATTGTCTATACCTTCTTATATAATTTAGAAAAAATGCCACCTCCACAAAAAAAGATAAAAGATATCAGGAGCTTTTTTAACAGTTGGAAAGTAAGTAAGAGAAAGCACAAGTAATAGCAAATTATGAATTGTGATGATTAATCTTCTGTTAACATACATAGGAAACTCAACCAACAAGAGAGAACAATATAGGGAATGTTGAGGTAGAAGCAACAGGCCCTTCAGTGCATCAGGTGAGGTTGGAATTTTGTAGGTATGCATGGGGCTATGAATTGTATTTAGAGATTGATCGTATGTCAAACAATGTAGTGAGCTACAAAAAATCCTTAACTGCTTCTCATTCAGTCTACAGCTGAGTTTAGTATAGAAGGCAACACACTATTGCAAATATAGTGTGTGATTACACAACAAATTCTGGGGGAGAAACTCTGGACCCCGTGTCAATGGGTGTAGACTCAGGTCGTAGTGAATGTCCCCACCAAGATTGGAACCAAACCTACACCATTGATATAAAGTCTCTGGAAGGTCTCTAGACACAGAGACGCTGCAGCGCTGCATTATTGGAAAAGAAATTTACACAAAAAGCCACCACTTAAAGGCGCTATACCCGTTTCTACAATGTTTGAATGTTTAGCACCGCCCCCCAACTCGCTCACAGGCTTCTCATTTCCCCTACGCTCTCATAACACGGAGCCACCTAGTTTTATTTGCGATCTGATACGTATGCTAACATTAGCATTAGCGCAACTTGTAAGCTGTGCATCAATCACTGATGAAATGGTACTAAAGCAATGCACTGCTAACACAATATATAAGTAAAAGAATACCATTAGTTTCGCGTCCGGATGTATTAATTTAAACATTAGAATATATTCTAATATTTAATTATAATTTATTATACAGCTCCTCACAGCAGCAGCACTCCATTGACTTGAATGCAATTCTTCCGATAATTTCTTCTTGATAACAGAACTCTCAATCCAATAATGACCGCAGCCCCAATGCAATCTCGGTTTGTAATTCAGGTGTGTAAAATACTGCCATTACTCTGCAAGTACAACAAGCTATCAGTGCCTGTCACTACATTGTGCAGTTTTTCTGCACACTTGTCTGTGTAGAGAAGCTAGCGGAGCTAGCCACGCTCGATAAACAAATACATATCTATCAATCAACACCATTAAACGTCAATCGGACAATACAGTATACATAGACATCCTTAACACACGTGCACGGACGATTTCAGAATTTGCTGTCAACGTTTTCATGACAAAAATACTGTTTTAAAGTGACAAAAAGTGATCGCGAAAAACCCGGAAGTTACCATGAAACAGCTAGCTAGCTTAGCTGTCACCTGCCTAGCACGTCCCGGTGAAACCTTTGGGAGCTAACTATTTTATTCGCAGTCATTAAATACATTTCTAATTATAAGGGTTGTCTAATATTTGTTCAAATATGTATATATTTTTTATTTTAGAATTATATTCGAATTTTGAAGTCGAAGCCCTGGTGTTAAGCAGCGCTGTAGGGGCTAGAGGACGCAGGCTGGTCGCTGCTCGTTCTGTGAGCGGAGGAGAAAGAGCTCAGACTCTACTCAGCACTTTTCACTGCTTGAATTTCATACACAGTGGAATCAATGACCTCAAGTTTTCGATTAAATTATGTATTATGATGCAACTTGTATGTAGTAAAAAGCATTTTTATGAACTACTTAGAAAAAAAATCGGGTATAGCTTCTTTAACTCCGAGGGAACGCTCAGCAAAATGTATCTCCTGCGTGCGTCAATTTTCCGCTCCTGCCGCGCAGTCCGTGCATCTCTACCGCGCAGTCCTATGGTGCTTTCAGACCGGATCATGCGTTGCGTCGGGTTTCAATGCAAAGTCTATGGTGGCGCGCGTTCGACCGTCACAACGCACGGACCTCCCGGCACGCACGAACGAACGAACTGTTCAATAATGACGCACGGACTTGGCGGGAAAGTGAAAAGGGAGGAGCAGGAGCGAAAAATCAACGCCCACAGGAGATGGATTCTGCTCATCCTTTCCTTGGGACGTTGGTGCGACAACCAATCAGAGAGCAGCAAAGTGGTCACAGGGATATTAGCGGACTGAGCGAGCAGACTGAAAATACTCATAAACAGCCAAAACAGGACCCACACCAGGCTTCACCAGAACTCAAACCAGGGTTGACAATGGGGGACTCTGTGCTTGTGAAAATGTGTTGTCATACTCCCGTGACCTTATGCAACGGCTTCGAGTGGCGCACCTCCGTGAACACATACTGCTGTTATATAAAGCCCGTGGAATGTCTGTGAGCAAAGACACGCTGCAAAGCTGCATATTGGAGAAGATCTGTACACAAGAATCCGCTAGCATAGCTCTGTTAGCATTAGAGCCGGCCGGCTACTTCCGGTACTTCCGGCTCGCGTCAGGACGTTCTGGTGTGAAGTCCTCTGCGTCTGAAAACTAGAGAATGAGCGGGGCTTTTGCGTTTCAGCGTTGGCGGTCTGAAAGCCCCACTATAGGCATGCATTCCGAGACACACATGCATTTCGACGCTCGAACGCGCGTCACCATTGACTTTGCATTGAAAGCCACGCAACGCATGATCCGGTGTGAAAGCAGCTAAGGCAGCCCCTCGTCAGCCTGGAGGGACAAGGATACAGAGCTAGAAGTGTGTTTTCTAACCATTGCGTGTGTAACCATTAACATTGCACTAGTGCAGCATCTCGTACCTGGCCAGACGCAGACGGGGAGGCAGCAGGGGGGCGTGTCCAAAAGGGCGCACCCGAGACAAGAGAGAGACGCGCATTCATAGAGCGAAGCAGACTGTGTGTCTTAAAGCGACAGGCGCGTCCTGTTTCAAGCACCATATAATTCATATTGTCACATCATTGATACTTCTGCTTACACAAGACACCACCATTTCTACTTTGACCAAAGTAAATGCAATTATGCAATAGTAAATAACATTTTGAAATTTGCTGAACTGAAAATGACTCAATCGAATCCTTCATTCTGTTGTTTCAGATCACTGTTGCATCATGCATCAGTCTTCTCCTTTTAGTTTCAGTGAATCTGAATAGTGAGAAGGTGCTCTGCTCATTAACTGTTTTCAAACCCAAGATAAATCACTGACTAGAGAGTCATAAAGCAGAGCCAGCGGAACTGCGTGTCTCTCAAGTTGAGTGAGCATGTGACCTGAAACTGAACACAATGAACAATTATGAGGAAAACACTGCTTTTTTAGGAAACTGGGGACGATTTCAGAAGAGTTTGTTTTTGATACTTTATGCCAGTGTTATTCCAAATGGGCTCGCTGTTTTATCTGTTGTGTTTATTGTGGACAATCCAAAGCACCACTGCTCTGTCCCAGATGTGAACCTGACAGAAGACTGGCTCCAAGCGATCATCCCAATAAATGTGAGTAGCCCAGGAGTGAATGTAAGTTCAGCCATTTTTGCACTGTTTTGGAAAATAATATCAGCATGTCAGTGATCATGGATCATCATCACTTCATATAAAATATGTGTGTAAAACATCAAGGCATAGGCGTATATTTGTTTTCAGACTTGGTTTGTGAAGTCATGGTGAAAAACATAGTCCTTTTCTTTGTGGTGAGGAGTCAGTGAATAATGTGTGCAGTTGGAGCTGCTTATTATGGGATTATGAGGTCTGGATTTATAGCATTTTGAGATAGATTCAAGACATTATTTATCGTTTTATTTTGTTGGGACAGTATATGTTAATGAACACATCACTCCTGATTGTAGCCATGAGCTAATTTGCATTGGTTGACCCACATACTCATTCATTCACCTGGAACTATTGTACATTTTTCAGTGGTAGGGGAAACCTGCAAACATGCAAACTCCACTCAGAAAGTCCCTGTTCCGACTGGGATTCAAACCCAGAACATTCTTGCTGAGCAGCGAGAATGCTATCCACTCAACCACCGTGCCGCTTCTCATTGGAAAGGATAACAAATGTAGAGCCCTGAGTCCTCATGACTAAAGCATTAAACAGTTTGACAATTAAGACATATGTGCAACATTTTAAGAGATACTGTAAATATAGGGCTTGCACGACAGTGCAAAAGTCCAATGCAGAACTATTGTTGATGGATCTATGGAAGAGGCTAAGAGAGAAAGGGAAATAGCCCGGTAGACTCTTAATTCAGGGATTCCCAACTTTTTGGGTCAGTTTACACAAATTGCAAATTCAAAAGTAATTTCTTCCCCAAAACAGAACATTCGCTGATTGGGTCGCAGAGCAGCGCCAAACTCAACCAATGCTGCAAAATATAGGTTGTTAAATATGTGTATTCCCTGGTATATGAAGCATGATATTGTTTGTTTGTCCTGAGGTGGTGGATGGAGAGGAGCAGCGCAGCAGCTGCAGCAGGTACAGGCTGGATACAGTCTCAGACCTTTGGGCTCAGGGCTTTGCTCCTGGAGACGTGAACCTCACCCAGCTGCAGCAGGAGCCCTGTGTGGACGGATGGACCTACAGCAAAGATATCTACCAGTCCACCATAGTCACTGAGGTACCACACATACCAAGCACCATTCATACAAATATTAATTTTATGGTCAGAAAATGTAAATGTTTCTTCTGGGACATTTTGCCTAGTTTGACTTGGTGTGCAGTGATCAGTGGAAACAGCCGTTCACTTCAACCATTTATTTCATTGGAGTTTTATTTGGGTCCTTCTTTTGTGGACAACTCTCCGACAGGTACGATAAAGTAATATTTCATTTTGATTGTCTAACTTGATATTAATGTATTTTTATAGATTTGGGAGGAAGCCTGTATTTTTCATTACTTTGGGAATACAGACATTGTTCACTTTTCTTCAAGTCTTTTCAAACTCTTGGGAGATGTATGCAGTCCTGATGTTTTTCAGTGGATTGGGTCAAATCGCAAACTATTTGTCTGCTTTTGTCCTAGGTACGTCTCATTCATTATGTCAAAGCAGCATTGGTATTTTTCTGTACTTTCGTTTTATTTTTTGAGAATAGTATTAAGCAGTAGTTCTACTACTGCTGCATGTGTGGACTTGCATCTCCACACACCTGACTCACACTAGTTCAGGTGGAGAGGCCCTGTACTTTTTTATGTGCCTGGAATCATCACACAGGTGTCTCCATAAACTTACTTTGTGTCACTTTATTAAATGGGGTACTATTGTATTTCATAATAATAATATCAAGAGGAAAGGCATGGTGAGTTTGGATCATTCATAAACAACCAGACTATAAAACCATGGCCCAATAAGTTGGTACACTTTCAATAAAATGTATTAGAATTTAACTTTGCTGAAGATAATTGTAAAAATAACCATTTATCTATGAAGTATTTTTTCCCAAATACGTACCTGTGGTCACAGAAAGGTATTATATTAGAAAGAAGTTAATTCGACACTTAGGATTTATTCTTATGTAGCCTATATATACATATACTATAAGAAGATGCATAATCCCTTACCACTTCCAGCAGTTTGCCACAATAGATCCATAGATTGTCTGCAGGATTATCTTTATTTGATATTTTCTGTAAAAATGGAAGTGTCCAAGGACAGGGGTTGCTCTGGAACAGATATTAATATTCTTATTTCTTTCTGTTTTCATGGCTTTTGAAATTCAACAACATTGCATTATTGTGACTCTCTCCTCATCTTGATAAATAAATATGCAGTCATTTTCCCCAGGGGCCGAGGTGTTTGCTGGAAACGCACAGACGGCGTACACCACTGTGGGCGTGTGTCTGGGCTTCTCCACTGGATACATGATGCTGCCGCTCTTTGCATATTTCATCAGAGAGTGGAGACTTCTGGTCCTGGCCATTGCTTTTCCCGGAGCAGTCTTTTTACCCCTCTGGTGGTAGGGTCATGTGTTGCAACCAAGCCCCTGTGATCCAAGATGGCGCCCTTTTCAAATGAACGGCTTTGAGCACATGGGGCTTCACGGAGACCGGGAGATTAGCAGAACTCGCCTATATTTGGGCATCATCTGGTCCTCCCGGTTCTGTGCAGTGGATGAGCTCCCATGATGCATTGCGCCAAATACGCGTGCGGCTCTCATGCATGTGCACAGAGGGGCTCGGCCGCGCTTTGACCAATCACCAATCAGGTAGAGCGAATAAATGATAAAAAAACACATCAGCTGGCAATAGCAGATGTATTTTGAACTTCATAAGCCACAAGCTATATATCATTTTAAAGCTTATTTTCTCATCTATATTTATATGTAAGTGTAAACAATATCAAACTTTGCATTAAAAAGATATAACGCATAATATGGGCACAAAATAATTACGTTTTTTTACCTTTCGTCTTCTGCTGCTCCAACAAATTAGACTTTCCCCATCCTTGCTCAGTCTCTTTCTCTCCGCAGGTCTTCATTGAAAAAGAATATCCACTTGTATTTCCCAAAGTATAATCCATTCTTCAGAAATAATCCAAAAATGTGCATTTTTCTGTTGCAAAAAAAAAAAAACGCTCTGAAAGAGGTTCAGGCTTCTCTTTCACATTTCACCAAGTTTGAGCTTTTGAGCCCACAAACATCATATCCACGTGTTCCTTGAGTCCTTAGCTTCAAAAAGAGAGGTTCCATGAAAAGATAGGAGCAGGTTTCAGTCCGCAGGACCCTTGTGAAAAAGACAAACCGCATCCATTTGCACAGAGTCCGTTTTTGCCTTGTTGTTGATTAGCATGGCTAGCGCAATGAGCTAGCTCTGAATGATTGACGTGTCTAAGTAGCCAATAAAAAGAGCTTTCTGTTGATGGGTTGGACTTATTAGGAACCACTTTTAATTTTCACAGTAAAAGTGTGCGTAAAGACGCTGTTACATTGCTGAGCATATTTTATATGCATTTACACTAGTAAAATATGTATTTTGAAAAAAATGTAAAAGAAAAATTACACAGATTTGTAACTTATAAGTACCAAAACTAAAAAAATTGCTTTTTGTGATGGTGAAATGTTAGTAAAGCAGTTTGGCACAATTTGGCACACATTTTGCCAAATTGGTTCCGAATGGCACTACTTGATTAAAAAAAGAAACTGCATAAAAACTATAAAACTTAGAAGTCTGAAACTTTACACAGTTGTTGTCAACAACACAATGAACAAATTGGCGTTGAAAATGTTCTTCTTCCAATGAAGTAGGCTTTTTTAGGGCATTTATACATTGCATTTTTTAGGCGAGGCTAAAAAAAAAACAGGTTTTTTTCCCCAAACTTCAAAGGATGCAGAGTGAAATAGGAATGACATACATTATTTCAGTGTATATTTACATAAACTAGAAGCTTTAAAATGATGCATCACACAAGCATGTGAGATGTAAGATGTGTTTTTAAATAAGCAAAGACATTTGGGTATGCCAAAACAGATATAGGAGCTTTAGAGGTTTTACGAAGAAAAAAGTTTAGGATGACAAGAGACACCAAAATCCCCACAAAATCCGACCTTTATGAAAGCTGTAGGTTCTTTGTCAGCTGAGGTTGAGTTGTTTTAGTTTACATTGAGTTCTATGGGACGTTTTTCTGGGTAGCCCACGTGAATTTAGTCTGCAGTACCACGGGCACCCCCTGTGCTCATGGGTGGGACAGCTCTACCAGGACGACAGTAGCTCAGTTGGTAGAGCATTGGCATTTGAGCCAGAGGGTCGTGGGTTTGAGCCCGACTTTCACCATCGACTCCCACTGTCTGCTGTCATTGTGTCCTTAGCAAGACACTTAACCTCTGGGAACACCAGCCACAGTGGGGCAGCTGCGGCTGTAAAGTGCAAGACACTTCAGAATGGTTGGTGGTGGTCGGAGGGGCCGATGGCACATACTGGTTGCCTCGCTTCTGTCAGTGTGCCCAAGGGCAGCTGTGGCTACAGTAGTAGTTTATCACCACCGTGTATGGAGTGAAAGAATAATGACATGTAAAGCGTCTTTGAGTGTCCAAAAAAGCCCTATATAAAACCGATGCATTGTTATTTACCCTATCCAGTTATTATTATAGATCCATGTTTGCAACTAGAGATGCACCGATCCAGCTTTTTTTCTACTGATACCGATATCAGACCTTTGGGTATCGGCCAATACCAATATTTACCGATACCGGAAATGATCACACTAAAATGTATTAAATAATTGAACTCTTTGTTATTCAAGTAACTGCAAAAGCAGTGGATGAACTAAAGCGCTAAACTTTCCAGATAAAAATGTATTCACCATAAATGTGCAATACTGCAACTATAAAGAGCTGCTCAATGTTCACATTAAACTTTACAACATTGTATTGTACTTTATACATTTATTGAATATAAATGCACAAATATTAAATGTGTTTAAATAAAGAAAAAACACATACAACGAACCAACACGCTGCATGTAAATGTAAATAAATTATAGCACCGTAGCTTAAACTGGATTTCAGATATGTATTTGCACGACGGCATGATGTACCTGGGTTCCAAAAGATCGAGCAGGCTGCTCGACCAATAGATGGCGGCTGCGAGCCCAAAATGATGAACACTTTCGGCTTGTTGCTGACAGCTTTTTGTGACGCTGCAGAGCATCCCCCAGTGTCATCTGTGTCTCGTTGTTTTTACGTTATCTCCTTTTGCTGCTAAAACTCCCCATTTTGTTTCACGTGGTGCTTAGTCGTGTTGTATTTCGCTAGTTTATCACATTTTGCATATATTGTGTGAGGTTGTCTGACTCGTCGATGATGGTAGTGTAAAAATGCTGCACAGTTGATTCTTTCGTCTGCTCCATTTTTGGTCGTGTTGTTGTTGCAGAGCCTCACGATGAAGTGACGTGCACGGGTGAGATCTGGCAAATTACTTTATTTCACGTATTACTTACTTTAGGGCGGCACGGTGGCTGAGTGGATAGCACTCTCGCCTCTCAGCAAGAAGGTCCTGGGTTCGAATCCCGGTCGGACCAGGGCCTTTCTGAGTGGAGTTTGCATGTTCTCCCCGTGTCTGCGTAGGTTTCCTCCGGGTACTCCGGTTTCCCCTACCACTAAAAATATGTCCAATAGTTCTAGCATGTGCCTCCTGTACTGGCCCTGCTCCTATCTCTGTGTGGAGTGAGAGACAAATGCCCAAAAATAACAATTGTAAACCGCTTTGAGACTCAGATCTGCAGTGAAAAGGCGGTATATAAATAAAGATTACTACTACTTACTTACTTACTACTACTACTTTATACGTGTATTATGCACAATGTATTTTAAGACATTGTGCTGCACCTGGTATGATTGTGTAAAAAAAAAAAATAAGAAGAAGAAGAAAGAAAATGGATTGGCTGCACGACGCAGCTCTCTACGTAGATATCCGATCCAGTATTTTTTTCTGGTATCGGCGCCGCTATCGATACCAGTATCGGATTGGTGCATCCCTAGTTGCAACATAATGTAACATGAAAAAAAATTTCAAGAGAGAGTGAGAGATCCTTTATTCGTCTCATAGTCTGCAAATTTCAGTGTTGATTCACAAGTTACATGACATTTGGAATGAGGAGCACACAAGATAACTGAGTTTCTGTTTGGCACACTTTTTCATGTAAAAGATGTACACCACATCCTCTAGGAATGTTTTCAAATGAGGTACAAAAAGTTCAAGTTTAAGTTTCAACTAAATTCAAACATTTATGGCAATGTATGGTTTTGAATCTAAAGGATAATGTATTGTATTTGTTGTGTATTTAGGGTCACTCCAGAGTCTCCGCGATGGCTGCTGTCTCAGGGCAGGGTCCAGGAGGCAGAGGCCATTATCAGGAAAGCTGCTAAAATGAACAAAGTCAAAGCCCCACAGGTCATATTTGCTAACAGTGTGGTAAGTTACTAAAATGTGGATAAGTCATCCCATGTCAATTAAAGAGTGCTGACCAGTTTTCATGATTTTTGACAATTTGTAAGCCAGGTGTTCAACTGCTGGTGCAAAGTGAACTAGAATGTGTAATTTCTCTGGTTTCATTTCATTTATATTGATTATGTGTTTACAACAAAAGTGCTGCATTTATTTTTTTGTTCAGTTTACTGTTATGTATAGTTTTTATAAAATAACATAATTTTACACTCATGACGAGATAGGACAAGAGACTCAAGTTCAAAAAGTACATATTCAAATGCATCCAATAATTCTGTTTTATTTTGATCAATTGATCTTAGATTGAAGAACATACAACTAAGAAGATGGTCAAAACTGTTACAGTGATTGACCTGTACAGATACAGAGAGATGAGACTAGTCTCACCGATCCTGGCCCTGATCTGGTGAGTCGTACATGAAAGGCAGAGGACTCACCGTACAAGACATACTGTAGTTATAATTATATGGAGGGACTTCCCATTGTTGGAATTCTCCACCGGTGAAGTAAAGGGTCGTGTCCCTTCTCCTCAGAGTGGGGGACAAGTATCTTACTGTTGCGGTGGCCTACAGGCCAAACAGCAGTGCAGAGTTGTCTGCATTCTTGGAGTCCTTGGCAGAGGTACTGGATGGCGCCCCAACCATGGCCTCAGTTATTCTTCTGAGGGACCTCAACACCAATGCCAGTGACACCTGGAGAGGTGTGATTGGAAACAATGCCCCCCCTGATCTGAATCCTCTAGTCACAGCTTGCCCATAACAAACATACAGAGGTCACATATGAGCTTTGGGTAACCCCCGATAGGACGAGATCGCATATACAAACAGTCAAAATGAGCTTCCTCCGCAGAGTGGCTGGGTTCTCCCTTAGAGATAGGGTGAGGAGCTCAGTCACATGGGAGGAGCTCGAAGACCTGTTCCTGATGCCTCCCCACTGTAAACCCTGATAAGTAAAGTTTACTTGAAAAAACCTTGGAAATAAATTGCACATTAACTTCACTTGAATTCCTCGAGTACATCCTTTACTAGATATTACCAAGTAAACTCAAGTGATTGCGATAAAGTTTAAATTTCAATTTATGCTCCGGCTGGGATTAACCTTGGGGTTGAGAGGCGATGGTGCTACCCACTCAGCCGCCTGCCTTATTAAGAGTCTACACGTTAAAATGTCAAAAGCGAGGCTTCCTCGAACAGAGAGTTCAATTCAAAGAAAACCCTGAGTGATATAGCCAAGCTTTAAATAAACTAACAATAAATGAGTAATATTTACTTACTAGGAAAAATCTATTTAAAATAACTTTGATATCTGAAGTACGATTGAAGTTAGGGTTTACAGTGTGGATGCCTCCCTAGGGAGGTGTTCCGGCCTGGGACTATGTGTCTCAGCTGGCCTGGGAACACCTCTGGCTTATAGAGTCCCATCAGAGACAGGGACAACGGCGAATGGTGCAAAGGTAATTCCAATTCTGCAAACAATTTTTTGAATTGTTTATTTGTTTGGAACAGTACATATAATGAACATCACTCCGGATTGTAGCCATGGGCTAATTTCCATCCGTTGTCCCACATTCGCACTCACAAACACACGCTCATTCACCCTGAACTATTGCACATGTTTTCAGTGGTAGGGGAAATCGGAGTCATATGCAGTCGCAGGTGAGCTGCCCAATTCTAGGGGCAGCATGGTGCCTGAGTGGATAGCACACTTGTTTCTTGGTAAGAAGGTCCTGAGTTCAAATCCCAGTCAGTATGGTGCCTTTCTGAATGGAGTTTGCAAGTGTCTGCGTAGATCACCCAAAAGAAAAATATAGGTAAATCCTTCAACTCCATTAAGCCAATTATCAACATCTGGAGATGGGATTGCAGACACTGTACAACAGTGACTTCTGCTCCTGACAAAGAGGCTGTAGTGGCATTACAAGATGGGTCAAATATAGAAGGCAAAGTAAATAAAAATGTATTCATTAGCAAGATACATTTTTGGTGCATTTGACCAGACTACAGAGCAATAGTTTAAATGGGATGCATATGTTTGTGTTTGCAGGTTTACTATGGCGCTGGGTTATTTTGGTCTGTCACTGAACACATCTAAACTCATCGCAGACCCCTATATTGCCTGTTTAATCTCTGCTGCGGTGGAGGTACCAGCTTACATCGCTGCTTGGATTGCCTTGAAGTTCTGGCCCCGCAGACCCACCCTCATCACCTTCATGTTACTGGGAGGAGTGTCTCTTTTGTCGATTCAGGCAATCCCCCGATGTAAGTTCTGACTGCCCTCTGCGAATGACTTGATATCTCATCATCAAACATTGTGTTTGGTTTGTAGTGTGGCCAGTCGAGGCGGGTACGCGCTCATTAAATAATATTATAATTAAAGAAAAGAAAGAAAAAGACCAGAAACGCCAGGGCAGAGTGCCCAAAATAAAATAAAAAGAGCTCTAAGGCGCACAGGTTCGTTAAATCATAAGAGGCATATTAGGTTACAAGCAGATATTAGGTTACAAGTTACTAACGGCTTATTAACCGAGCGCGAGGTCTGTATGGAGAAATATCAGACTGAGGCCTTAATGTACAGACCGAGCCGAGGCGAGGTCTGTGCAAAAAGGCCAAGGTCTGATATTTCTCTGTACAGACCGAGCAAGCGAGGTTAATAAATGTTTTACTATATGACTCTTGTCTGTGTCTTTACCAATACTTTTGAGATATTTGTGAAGTATGTTCATGTCCGACTTGGTTTTGTGTGATATGCGCTGCGGACAGATTGTGATGGTAACGTTCCGAGGAAAGATATCAAATGTGATACGCGCTGTTCGGACCAATTGTCATGGTAACGGTCCGAGGACTGCGCACTGGTGCAGGAGAAGGCAGGCGCGACGGAACACAGGAAACGGAAGTGCAGACGTAAACAAGGACACAACTTGAGGCTATTTAGACGTGTATGTGCCCTCTCGTGGACACAAATATGGTGGCCAAGTCCAGCTTGCCACAATAGCATAAAAAGTCTAATCAGTCTAGTCAAGTAGTATTCTTTTGTACATAATTTCCCCAAAACCTATCTGTGATTTTTATTATTATGTACATTCTACATAGTGTATGTATTATTTATATACAATGTCGTTTTAAAAATAAAAAATCTCCCCTTTGTAAAATGTAATTAACTGCTGAATACTCACATGTGTCAAGTCATACAATGATTCCCCCAGTTTTTAACATCTCACACAGCACAATCAATCAATCTATTGTTCCAAATTGGAAAGAGTATAGCACCAACTGCAAACTTACCAAGACACAACCATTCACCTGAACTAACAAGCCAAAAATACACGGTAATCTTGGTCGGGAAGCTGCTAGGACCAGCAAAAAAAGAAATTTGCCCACTGAAGTGGCTTAAACACCTTCATACAATAGAACACACTGAAACAAAACATATTCATGAATGGCCCCAGTCAAAGTGAAAATGTGTGAAGTTTAAGCTGTTTTCATACTTTTGCATCCCACTGTGAGTATTTTGAAACTCTGCATACATTGCATGAATAGAAAACCTTGAAAACGTCATTGACGAGCGCTTTTTTTGCAGCGCTGCCAGCCCTGTCCATTGCTCTGGAGATGTTTGGAAAATTGTGCTTCACTGCCAATGCTGGCCTGGCTTTTCCGTGTACAGTAGAAATTTACCCAACGTTTATCAGAAACACAGCAACAGGAACATGTGCCACCTTCTCCAGAGTTGGCACCAGTATTGCGCCGTTTGTCTTCGAATTGAGTGAGTGAAATAGTTTTTTTTTTAGTTTTTTTTATTCAAATCTGTGTGAGAATTTCTTACGTTTATTCACTGACAAGGTTGCCAGTACTAGGGTCCTGATCTCTCATCCTAATTATGATCTTGGCACTCCTACAACTTGCTCTGTTGTTTTTGACCAATTTGAGCCAGTTACTTTGCCTTTAAGTCACTTCTTAAGACTCATCTTTTTACTTTGGCTTTTAACTTAGTGGGTTGATTTTCTGTATAATTTGTATTATTGTATACGTTTCTAAATTAAATTGTGTTTTTAGACTTGTGTTCAGCACTTTGGTCAACTGTGTTGCTTTTAAAGTGCTCTATAGATAAAGTTGAATTGAATTGAATTGAATTAGTCAATTTGACCATTTCACACAAGAAAATAGCTATATGCCACAAAAAATAAATTGTGTGCACTTCTTTAGCAGACCAAAACAGAATCTAACAGCCCTAGCCCAAACGAGGTGGTGCAGATCCTAATCCCAGCTCTATCGCTGCATATGAAGAGTGAATGCACACTCTCTGAAAAAGTTAGTTCAACTCAAAATTTCAAGGCAACTGGCTGCACGCGACTTTTCAGTTGAAGGCATCAAATTAAGTCTTTATGTTTTGAAGAACTACAATCATTAAGTTGTGTCAGGTAAGTGTTTCTAGTTCTGCCAACTACGTTTTGTAATTCAAGACTTTCAAGTCTGTAAAAACTTACTATTTTAAGTTCAGATTACAGTCCCCTGCAAAAACGTACTATTTTGAGTTTAAATTAGCCCCCACATTAAATCCTCCTGATTATTTATATAGCGCTTTTACAGACCAACATCACTTGGGTAGGGGAAACCGGAGCACCGAAGACACCTACGCAGACACAGAGAACATGCAAATTTCACTCAGAAAGGCCCTGTTCTGACTGGGATTTTGAACCCAGGACCTTCTTACCAAGAAGCGAGAGTGCTATCCACTCAGCCACCGTGCCACACACACTATAAACACGAATAGTGGGGAAAACTAATGTTTCTTAATGATACTTGTTCCCTCAATAAAGATTAGTTTTATAAATACCATAAACACAACAATATAAGTTCATTAAACACAGTCTTTACTAATACTCATTAGCTCACTAGACTAATTCACACATTGTTTGTACTAATCTGTTTTAGTTTTATAAATGCCATGAACATAACAATACAAGCTCTTTCGACAGTGATATATTAGTCTTAAGGTCCTGAACTCTAGAACTCTCAGATTGAGAAACCATAATGCTTTCAACTCAATTAGAGCTTAGTTTCTGTCAAGTACTGCATTCAGGCTCAGTGACCTTATTACAATTAGAACATTCTAGAAGATGACCTTGGGAATATATAGGGTTACTTTGGCTTGGCTCTGTCGATTACGGTTGGTAAAAATAAAGACAATGATTATTTGGTCAAATTAGTTTATTCAAAAGGTTGAATGCAGCCGTTTGCCATGACACATTTGAAATGAGCATGTGCCGATAAGTTGACCTCACTCTAACTCGGTGCACTGAAAAAAACGACATCTCAAAATTTTTCACCTTACTAAGATTTTTGCATTCACTGACAATAAAATTGCCAGTTGGAAGTTGAACTGTCTGTTGTGAGCCACTTTAACTCACTTTCAGAAGTTGAAGAAGTTGATTTTACTTTTAAGTTGTAGTTTACATGTCAAAATTTGGTTAGATTTCACGCTCGGGACAATTCAAGGATCAAAAAGCAGAAGAAAAAAAGAAAGAAATAATTTTCCTAAAACACTAAACAGAAACAATATTATAAGTTTCATTATTTATCATTTCAAAGCTGACAATCATCCGTTCTTGATAATTGATTCCTGTCGCTCACCTCAACATCTTGCATTCCTCATTGGGAACGCAATAGGCCCTACGTACAGCTGAGGCTGAGGCTCAACAAGGACTATAAATTAACTAAAATTAACAATGGGATCTGTTACCAGCAGAGGGCGCTGTACTCAAGTCCAAACTGCAGAAAGATTGAGGCTCTGTGGGAAAGACATTTGATCAGAACTAAAGATTGATTAAATTAGTCATGAGCTAATTTCTTTCAAATGTTCTACCTGTTATTATGAAAAAGTGTGTATAATGTTGTATAGTGGTTATTCTTTCACACACAAAAATGCATAATTAATCATAATAAAAATGCATATGTTGATTCTCTAATATCTTTTTTTCAGGTGCATTTTTCAAATTCCTGCCCTATATAGTTTTGGGGTCCCTTTCTGTGGCATCTGCAATCGCTGCACTATTCATTCCAGAGACATTTGGACACTCACTCCCAGAGACACACGAAGATATGACAAAGTTTAAAAGGTGAGCTACAAATGAGTTTTTTCCCCCAAATGAATAGTTTTAGGGTATTCCCTGCCAGGTTGGTGTTAAACATGTATACATATAAAAAACAAAACAAAAAAACACATGTATACTATCAAAATCCATCCAACTTAGCTAAAAACGGTTCTTTACTGTACTTTTGGCTTTTGTCACATCATTAGAGCCGCTTTTTCAGACAGAACACATATAGAGAATGTAGAACAGAGGTCCACACACACTATTAAGAGAAAGACAGTGTGTTTGGAATGTTTTGTTCACAACATTTCACAAAACATTTTTTGAGATTCTTTCTGTTGGGCTAAACAACATAAATTTACGAAAAAAGAGGACAAGTTGGGTATCCTAGATTTAATACTGTAAACGTGTGTGTGTTGAAAAGACGGAACTCATTAACTTATACTGGAGTCAATGTTTTGCACGTCTTGCCTCTAAACATCTAAACAGCGCTCATTAGTCCGGACCATCTGCTGGTCACACCTCTGTAACCGGACACTCTTGTCAGACCTGCCTTGAACCACAGTCCTGAGGCTCAAGTTGGATCCTGTCTGTTGGATTCTCAGCGGAGGGAAGGGAATATATGCAGCCTAAACAAAAGATAACGGTTTAGTTTGTCGGTTTAAACAGTGCAAATATTGTTACATGATGTGGTTCCAGCCTCACAACACATGACTTTTTTTAAGGATTCATTTTCTTACATCTGACTTTCATAACAGATTGAGACTCTCCTGCACCTGTCAAACGAACACATTGGTTTCGGTGGATGTTGCAGAAACAAAACTGTGATAAGTATCAGCGCATTTTAAACAAAGAGTAACTTGCATTTGATTACTGTACTGTTGTTTCAGGCCTTCAGGCAGTTTATGTAATCTTGAGATATTTGTAATACTTCTACATAGCATTGTGTATAGCTTTAAAAAAAAAATAAAAAAAAATGGGTTCAGTATATTTTTGCAAATCAGTCAAATACCTGTGTTTACCTTTTTTTTTTTTTTTTTTAGATGAAACCTTTTTTCTGCAATAAAAACATCAACATATTCCAGTGCTTTTTTAACCAAGGAAATTGACCCATTTCTGTTAAGCTGTTTTAATTATAATCAACAAGACCAAAGAATGTTTTTTGTGTGTTGTACTCGTGCTACAGTAAATATCCTCTTTAATCACATTTTGTCACCTGTACTGCTGTTGCACCACCTGCCTTTTTACACAATGTTCATACATGCTTGTAACATGTTTATTCTGATGTTGTGATTGCAGCAACTGTACAATCACGTCAGCTGTTGCACTTTGACATGTGTTATGTTATATTTGTATTGTTGTTATTATTGCTGCTTCAAAAGTTCTTTTATTTTTGGAAATTCATCTTAAAATGTGTCACCAATTCATGATATAGCCTTCAAGGTGTTTGATATGTTTTACAAGCTGTGAGCCATAATCATTAACTATTATCATTATAACAAATAAAGACTTCACCTGTACAATGCATTAAGTGTGTATTTTCATGTTTTCTATTATGACAAAAGTAAAAACTTCTTTATAAACTTCATTGATTACCTTGCATTGTCTGCTTTACATTATGCATTCCCTTGTTGTGTGGCACCATCACTCGGATGATGACGCAAATATGTTGTGGTTTTCCTGTTTAGAAAAAAGTGGGCGTATAGAAGCAGTTGAGCTTAAAGCGGGCGGAGACATGTTCCTGCTTTACCAGACAGTGTATGTCTTAAAACATGTCGGTGCTGCTGTAGCCTTCACCTATGGAGCCAATGGGCTGGACAGGACTCTCTGACAATGAAGGACTATGAGGGGAGCATAGCCTTTCTGGGGCAATGGGGCTGTTTCCAATATGTGATCTTCTTCCTCCTTTGTGCCAGTGTATTACCCAATGGATTCGGGGCATTCACGTTAGTCTTTTTAACTGATGTACCTCCTCATCACTGCACTGTTCCTGAGGCTAATCTGACAGAAGAATGGCAAAAAGCAGCCATTCCCTTAGTGGTGAGTAGAAAGAGACGTTTTTTTTTTTTTTGTGGTGGTTTGTTTTGGGCAAGACTGACAGGTATTCAGGGTGTTATACTACAAGTCGTACCCTGACATAATATGGGTGAGGTAGATGCAAAGATGGAAGCTGTGTTCAAATACAAATGAAATGTATGACTAAACCAAATTGTTGCAAATGCAATTCAAAGTCGAATGCAGCTCCAGAGGAAACATGTGGTAGAATACGTATGTTTTATTGAACTCGGAAACTTTAGGGTCAAACAAAATGATGTGGTTACGTTCATAAAATCAAAATTATCTGAATGAAAATTTTTGAAGTAAAAATTAGGTTTGTTCTGTCTGTATGGGCTCAGATGAATGAGTAATGAGAACTTTTGCTGTAGTGACTAATAATACAAAATAAAAATAAAAAGAATATATTATATGCGTGGGGGAAAGTGTTGAGTTTTGCATAGTCTTTATTTGAAAGGGACAGTGCACAGTGACATTAACCCTTTGCTGCACAGGTGGGTCAAAAATGACCCTGTGAGGTTGAAGTCCACAGCGGCTAAACTAGACTGGTCCAAAATATGTACTCCCCTCAACATTGACAGCTCTGGAACATAGCCTTGGACCAAGAGCTGACTTTTGGACCATCCTGTAAACGTTCTCAAGAGGAATGAAGACGCCATACAAAAGCATTGGATACATTTTTTTCTGAATACACCCCCACCGGACCAGGGTAGGATTGCAAGTATGTCCGCGCACGTGCTTATGGACGATTTTGAGCCGGGGCCCGCCCCCACTGGCTGGCACCTACACCTTACAAGCGCCAAACACAGAGGTGCTGTGGTACAACCTGATTGACATTACCACCCTTGAATCACACACACACACAGAGAGATATACACAAGCAGACATACAGAGACACACTCGTGCATCTAAGGGTTAAGATCAAAGACAGATACTTTATGTTCTGCACCAGATTATGGCTACACAGAAGCTATGAAAAGGTAACACACCGTCATACTAGTACACTACAACCACACTTTACACTTACAACATCACACAGACAAACATATCCTCTCATTCACATCATATTAAATTACTAACCATGTGAATAAAACATACATTCCATTCCATTTTCTTCTGCTTCATCATGCAGTGAATACATACTATAGTCCATGATAAAATAATGTTCTCAGACACACATTACATTATTGTCGTATCCAACTGTGAATGGGAAATAGGTCCTCGAGCTGATGCTGAAACCCTAACCCTCTTTGAAAGCAAAAAGACTGACCTGCAGATGAAAAAAGAAACAGTGGAAGAGTGACTAGTGCAGTCAGAAACAGAAGCACGTGTTACCTGGGAAATAAAAGTACTTTATTGAAGTATGGACAAAGGGGACATGTTTAAGTACAAGGTTCTTCTGCAGGCTTAATGACCTGCAAGTTAGTCTTAAATGTATCTTTGTTACATGGTTACATCCTGGAAGAGCCCCGTACCTTTCTTACTTTTCTCAACTCTGTTCCTCATGAAATATACAGTACCTAATTACAATTGTCACAGTTATTATTGGAAGGAGAAATGTATAACTTCATGGGCAGTTTATCAGCTTAAACCAATGCATAAAAATAAATTACTTTGTATTTTTTCGGTCATTATGAATATTAAATCTTAGTTTTTTCAATATATTACATACAAAACAAACATGCATCCATCCATTTTCTTCCCCTTAATCCATTTCTGGGTTGGGGAGGTGGCAGTCAGAGCTGCACCCAGTACACAGAGCACCAGCCCCTCACTGATCCTCCTGCAGGTGGTGAGTCCACAGGAGCTGAGATCTTTCAGTGGGGGCTTCAGGCAAAGTGGCGTTAAGTGTCTTGCCCAAGGACACAACGACAGCAGTCAGCGGGAGTCGTGAAGTAGGTCTTATGGTGGGCTCGAACCCACAACCTTCAGGCTCAAAGGCCAATGCCCTACATACAAAACAGTAACGTTTTAATGTTTATATCTATTTTGTAACAATATATTAATTCCGTGTTTGTAAATTAATGTACATAATTCAGGAGAATGACCTCATTCAATTAAGTGGAATCAGACATGGAAATCATGTTGGTAAAATTAAAAAAGAAACAAAAATGGCCATGACAGATTTGTATAACAAAACTCCACTTTTCATGTTAACGATTACACTCCACTCCTCAAACAAATACGTTAAATATTGCAGAATCCTAAAGCTGTGTTTGTTTGCCCTGAGGTGGTGGATGGAGAGGAGCAGCGCAGCAGCTGCAGCAGGTACAGGCTGGATACAGTCTCAGACCTTTGGGCTCAGGGCTTTGCTCCTGGAGACGTGAACCTCACCCAGCTGCAGCAGGAGCCCTGTGTGGACGGATGGACCTACAGCAAAGACATCTACCAGTCCACCATAGTCACTGAGGTACCACTGAAACTATGGCTGACATCTTTCTGCACAAGCACACCATTCAGGGCACATTGAATTTGTTATGAATTTGTGTGTTTTATGCAAACTGATTTACAGAATGCCTGACAAAAATATTCATCTGTAAGATTGAACATATAGTCAGTACATGATGTGTGTCTTGAAGTCAAGTCCGGTTCACTTGGGTCAAAACTGCTTTATTGGCTCATGTAAAACCACAAACACATGTCCATAAGTCACTTAAGTCAGTTTACATCTTTTGAAACAAATTTGTGAAGTAGGTCCAGGTCAAGAAACTTTTCAGTAAATGGCCTTGTGTTTATATAACACATCCAACATAATATTAACATTTTAAAATGTTAGGTAAAGGTAACGATAAAGGTGCACTTTATTTATCCCTGTATTAATTGACCCGTTCCACCCATTTTAATCCATTTCCACTTCATTCATTCATCTCATTCTTAATCATGTACAGTATAAAGTGACTAATCTGCTGTGTCTAAGTTAACCTTAGCAAAGGTGGAACATACTAAACCTTAAACAGGTCTTACTGCTGTTTACTGGAGCCACAAAGAGGATCATTAAAGAGTACTCTTTTTGGATTGTGTCCAAGGGTTTCATCTTGCATTTGAACAACCTGCAATTATTTCAGTTTGTCTGTGGTTTGAATATCTGCCTATCATTATGGTGAAATGTCACAGAGTTCAGCATTAAACATACACTTTTGACTTAGATAGATAACCAGATAACCTCTCAGTGACCTCTCCCAGCACTGCATTCTCACACCAGCTGGATACAATATTATTATATTATTTAATATAGATAATTAAAGTGAAATAGTGAACCAGAGGTTACTTTAGGTAAACCAGTGAGGACAAACATACTTCATTTGTGGAGATGTGAAACAACTGGAACAGAGAACATGTGTGATGGGTTCACATCTTGACATTTGAAGTTGTTGTACCCTAATCGCTGTACTTGAAGGGAACTCTTATACACTGTAAATGAAGTGTGAACAGTGTAGGTCGTAGGATGATAGTAAAGGGAATCTGTATCCAGTGAGTGTGTGTGTACCCAGTGGGAAATTATGTGATAATTAATCATGTTTTCTCTCTTTTTCTTGATGTCCTTTAGTTTGACTTGGTTTGCCATGAAGAGTGGAAGCAGCCGTTCACAGCATCTGTGTTCTACGCTGGCGTCACTGTTGGCTCTTTATTCTCAGGGGAACTCTCAGACAAGTACAGTGTGCTTTTACTGTTAACATGATTTCAAATAAATGAGCGTCTTTAATGACTTATTACGTTCCATTTGTCTGCGACTGATGGCAGTGCATGTGTAACAGGCTCTGATCATGTGGGATGATAATTAACCATGTTAAGGCAAAGTATTCAAACTAAGCGAATGGTACTGAAGGAATAAGTGGTAAAGAGCAGATTTGTTTGAAATCATTATTTTTATCAAATTGGAAGTTGACAGCTGCATGTGGCTTGCTGTTTAATTGGTGAATTTAGAGATGACTTCATGACTCCATGATGGAAATGGAAGTTTACATTTTGTTTTTAATCATTTTACAAATAGTGGAAAACAACATTTTGTGAAGTACAGCATGGTTATAAAATACATTCTCCGATAATTATCATTGTTTGCAATGATAATTGCAAACAATTTAGATCAAACTAAAATGTCAAAATAATTCTTTAGCTAGGAAAGATTCTTAACAAGACCAATGTGTAAAGAAGCTAATACTACTTTTAAGCTTAATTGAAAATAAGGACTGAACTTCTATAATAATTGTCACATACTTGCAACAGTTCGAATGCAAGGTCCTGGGTTCGAATCCCGGCCGGACCAGGGCCTTTCTGAGTGGAGTTTGCATGTTCTCCCCGTGTCTGCGTAGGTTTCCTCCGGGTACTCCGGTTTCCCCTACCACTAAAAATATGTACAATAGTTCTGGCATGCGCCTCCTGTTTGGCGACCCCGCTCCCATCTCTGTGTGGAGTGAGAGACAAGTGCCCAAAAAATAACAATTGTAAACCGCTTTGTGACTCTGGTCTGTGAAAGGCGGTATATAAATAAAGCTTACTTACTTACTTACTAGTTATGATAGCATTATGAGCAGACATTGAGCACGTCTGATTGGATTGTGGAGAGGCCCTTCCTCAAGTGGAGGAGTTCAAGTATCTCGGGGTCTTGTTTACGAGTGAGGGAAGGTTGGAGCGTGAGATTGACAGGCGGATCGGTGCAGCATGCGCAGTTATGCGGTTGCTGTATCGGACCGTTGTGGTAAAGAGGGAGCTGAGCCGAAAGGCAAAGCTCTCGATTTACCGGCCAATCTTCGTTCCCTCCCTCACCTATGGTCATGAGCTTTGGGTAATGACCGAAAGAACGAGATTGCGGATACAAGCGGTCAAAATGAGTATCCCAGCCACTCCGCAGAGTGGCTGGGCGCTGCCTTAGAGATAGGGTGAGGAGCTCAGTCACACGGGAGGAGCTCGGAGTAGAGCCGCTGCTTCTCCACGTCGAGAGGAACCAGTTGAGGTGGCTCGGGCATCTGTTCAGCATGCCTCCTGGACGCCTCCCTGGGGAGGTGTTCCGGGAATGTCCCACCGGGAGGAGGCCCCGGGGAAACCCAGGACACGCTGGAGGGACTATGTCTCTCAGCTGGCCTGGGAACGCCTTGGGGTCCCCCCGGACGAGCTGGAGGAAGTGTGTGTGGATAGGGAAGTCTGGGCGTCTCTGCTTAGACTGCTGCCCCCGCGACCCGGCAACGGATGAAGCGGAAGAAAATGGATGGATGGATGGATGGATGATTGGATTGTAATAACTCTTTGAATATAGACTCTATATAGATTAATACTTACTTTGTTTCTCTCAGATATGGCAGGAAGCCGATCCTGTTTGCAACGATGGTGGTTCAGACCATCTTCACCTTCATCCAAGTGTTTGCAAACTCTTGGATCCTGTTCACTGTTCTTCTGTTCTTCAACGGTCTCGGACAAATGTCCAATTATGTTGCTGCTTTGGTGCTTGGTAAGTATACACTGTATACATACTGAGAAAACGTATAAACCTAGTCTCAATCAACAATCTTCTGTGTTTTGGATCCACACAACATGACTAATTTCCATAACTTTTTATTCTAGTCATAAAGATTAGATTTGTTAACACTAGGACTCCCAGAATTCTTAAACGACTGTATAACTAAAACATAAAAGTCTAAAGAAAGTGATTTAGTTTCCCACCATATTTATAAAAAAGTAAGTAATTTATATTCATTTATAGGTTTTTACCTTTACTCACTTTTGCGGTAAAACTGGTGAAAATAACTTGAAATACAGCTAAATCAGATTGGCAGCCAAATGCCAACTGCTGCGAGTAAAGTGTGTCGCTATGGTAACTAGCTCCAGCTCTGCTCTGCTGGAATGTTGAAAACCAAGCAGAACCAGAACCAGTCCAGGACCAGCTCCTTCGTGAAAAAGGGGCTGAAATGACTGCCAATGAAGGTTGGCTAAAAGAACGGAACAGTCAAAATGACGGCTCAGGGAGTTAAAGATAGAAGTACTCACAAATAAGGAATCATTTCATAAAAGAAATTACATTGAAACCAAGTACATAGATGCAGAAAAAGACACAAAGTTATGAAGACCACAAATTTACATGATTTGAGTCGTTCCACTTCCAAAATGAAAAGCTGTCAAATTGACTGTCAAAAAAAGAGTCTTTATTTTCCTGGTAATGCAGTAGTAGGGTGACATGGGTTTTGGAGATGGGGCTGGAGAGGAGTAGGGTATAACCAGGATCAGGTGAGTAGAGTGGAGGAGCCATGGGAGAATAGAAAAAAAAAAAAAATCCATGAAAATCATTTGAAAGTAGAAATTAGAAACTAACTTTGAACTTTGTGGGTTATTTTTGTTTGAATCCCTTTTGGTAGAGTTTGACAACAGGGGATTAGAATCTGAGAGCAAGGATACTCAGTGGCGTTCCAAGGGTACCCCGGGGCCCCAGGCAACAGAGTCCTTGGTGGCCCTGATACCGACCACATAACTACATAAATAGGTTTATATTATAGTAGGTATAAATATATATTTATAGTCTATATAAACACAGAAGGCCCAATGAAAGATTAGGCTCTTAGCTTTAATCTGCAAGAAACGGCTTGTTTTTACCTTTTACCGTTTTTGAGAAATCTGTCATAGAATAGAATATAAATAGTTTAATCCAAAACATAGCTCTCGCCCGCAAGTCAGAATATTACGTAAATATCTCTGAGTTACAAAGAGATTGCATGAATGATAAAAAAATACAGCTGCAAATACACAATTCAGCCGTTTCTCCTGTAATCCTAAAAGGCGTTCTTACTTTGCTTTGATACTATTAAGCGATACTTTTAAACTTGCAGGTGCAGAGACCTTGACCGGCCAAGCACGAGTCATGTATTCATCATTGGCCTCCAACACGGCCTTTGCGCTGGGATATATGGCGTTGCCTTTATTTGCTTATTTTCTGCGGGACTGGAGGGGCCTCATGCTGGGACTGTCTCTGCCGGGGTTGGCCTACATCCCAATGTGGTGGTAAGTGACAGCCAGTGTGTCATGTATACCTTTAGTTAAATGTTATTAACAGAATTGAGGACTGAGAATTAATACAAAGAACTAAAAGTACAATAATTTGAAAAAGATTGAGTTTGTTTGAATGTGTTTTATTGTTACTGAGCTGTGCCATTGTTTTGAAGCCGGACTTGTATTCCCCGAAGAAGAAGACGGTGATTTCTGTTTTCAAACTGCTATTTGGTGTAATTTAATTAATTAATTAATTGCATACTAATTGCAGTAGTATGCAGTAGTATGCCTGTTTCACATGCAATGTAGTGTCATTACAACTGGAGCAGATCCATGTTGCATTGAGGTTTGGGGTGACTCTCGAACAACAGGATGTGAATAATTGTGGAAAATTGATTCTGTCTTCTTATGTTCACGGCTTTTTAGGTTCTTCTAATAAGACAATTAAAGCAAAAAAAGCTAGTACTGCTTAAATACCTGACATGTTTCGGCGGTACACTTCTGCCTTCATCAGAGCCGTAAACAGGATGTGAATCGCATAATTTTTGCTGGAACACTTAATTTCATATTTGTCATGTTGTTAAGTGAAAAAGATGCCAACTCGGATGATTATCTGGTGTATTAAAAAGCCACATTATCCATAGCATGTGAGAATGGGTGAAAGGGTTTGTGCAAAAAAACAGTACTCTTATGCAGAATACAAAAACATGCAGAATATTGTATCATTCACAAAATCAATGTATTTATCAAAAATCCTTGATCTTATAAGAAGGTGTTACATATTATGCCATCCTTTGATCATGATATCATACTGGGGAAAACTGGGGAAGTTCAAGTTCATTTCAAGTTTATTTATTTATTTATTTGAGCAGACAAGTTCTGCTCAAAAGGAGTGGGCCGAAGTAAGAGCTTATTGGTGCCCACCCCCAAAACACTACAATAACAGATACACATTTAAACATTTTACATAGTACAGCAACACGAAAAGAACAGACGATAACAACAACAGTAACGGCACAAAAAAACAACAAGATGTATGGAAGAAGAATAACAAGATGTATGGAAACCCCACAAAGTAAGTAGACAATAACAATATTAAGCAACAAAACAAAGTAAATAAAAAAGTAAAGAAGTATAAAAACAACAAAAACAAACGGACAAATTTGGTTTAGCCCGACTGCTCCCACTAGTGACGTATTATTTCCTCCTCTTTGTACTTTTACAAATTAATGTTTGGACTTTGTTTCATCTCCCGCTCCAAATTTTTCCGCAGTCGGACCCCATTTACTGTGGGGCTAAAACTTTTCAGAGTTGAGCTGTGTTTCTTTGTATCATAATGTGTAGTTCTTCACGTAGTTCGTAACAAGTTGGCTCTAGAAAGCTTTTCTGTATTTGTTTTGGTAAAGTTCAAATGTCATTTATAAAGAAATGTTATGTATTTAATGTGGGCAAGCAGAATTGTACCGGATAGTCACTAGTCACACTTATGGCGACCAAAGTGCTATGCAAAATAATCACATAAAATCCATTACAACATTCATGTAATCAAAAATAAAAGTCAAAAAGCAATAAAAATGTGTGTTAAAAGTGTTAAAAACCAGTCTGAATAATTGTGATAATTTAAGGCCTGGATTTAAAAAGGTCAGTAAAATCAGTAAGCACTCACTTATCAGAGGGCAGCTTGTTTCAGAGTTTAGGTCCGGCGACTGAGAAGGAAAATATAAAGAAATGATAGATGCATTAACTTTCCAAATCATCAGAAATAAATCAGTTATAAGTTTCTGTTCTTATTAGTAGATGTTTGGCTGTACGTCATGGACAAAGCAGTCTGATTGATGTTGTATGTGTTTGTGTTGTTGTTTCAGGTTGATCCCGGAGTCTCCTCGATGGCTTCTGTTTCAGGGGAAGGTGAAGGAGGCCGAGGCCATTATACAAAAAGCAGCTCGATGGAACAAAGTCCAAGCTCCACAGAATATCTTCGACCAGTTCACTGTACGTACAGCTGGGCAGATAGACAACTCACATACAAAATCAGAAGTTCAGCAATTCAGGTCCTGGTTATGACTCAGATGGGAGTCTGCTGTAATGTCAGGGGCCACACAGGGGACATTCTAGCTGGTTTTCGCTTCCGCCCGTCTGCTTCATCATTCCTGCCATAGCAATCAATCAAGATGTATTCCCTTACCACAGTTCATACAAAATCTCAAAGTACTATAATATTTGGAACCAGTAATTCATCCAGAGCGCTCTTCACATTTAGGGTTAGAGTAAAAAGAATAAAAGAGGATAAAAACCATTTCATATTTGGGATATTTTTGTTGTTTAAAGTGATTGTCTGGAGTTTGTCAGAAAGAGAGACAGAGAGGTAATTGATTTGAAAAAAAAAACGACTCAAGCTCCTCCCCCTTCCTTTCTGATTGGTCTACACCTACGTTTTCGTAACACTTTTAAATGTTAATCAGAGAACACGTTATACATATACATTATTAATACACATGCACGGAGGTTTTCAGAATTATTTGTTAACGTTTTAATGAAAAAAATAATGTTTTTATGCAAAAAAAAAGCAATCGCGGCAAACCCAGAACAAGCTATTATCACGAATTGCACATTATAGGACACATCTGCAGAGGATCTGATTATGGATAGAGGTTCAGTATATAAATGATTATGGATATAGGTTCAGTATATAAATGATTATGGATATAGGTTCAGTATATAAATGATTATGGATATAGGTTCAGTATATAAATGATTATGGATAGAGGTTCAGTGTATACATAAGTACCTCAGCGCGGATGTTCAGAATTCTTTGTTCAGTTTTCATGTAGTTCCAGAGCTTAATAGAGGCTCCGCGAAAACAAACAACTGCGCATGCGCGGAGCTGTGAGCATCAGCGCTGATGATTGACAGCCCTTGGCATGACTCGATTGGTTAACGTGGACGGCACCGTGGATTCTGAGCTACAGCTAAGAGAAGGGAAGGCGGGACTTGCCCGTGATATTAGAATTAATAGAATTACTTATTTTATATCAACATTTAAGGCCAGGAGGTCAATTTAACACATTTCCTAAAATTTGTAATTCATTTAGAGTTACTATTACAATTTATTTTATTACAACAATTTATTTTTTTAAACATCAAAAATTAAGTTCAATAGTTATCAGCTCTCAAAAACGTGGTGATATCGCAATCAAGATAAGATAAGATTAGATTATATAAGATAGATGTTGTTGATCTCACAATGGAGAAATGTACATGTCACATTTGGCATTTGTAGGAATACTCAGGGCGTGTAAAAGACAGGAAATGTGCAAATATGTTAAAAAGTGAAAAAATATTCTCATTTGTGCAAGATATATTTTGTTCAATAAAATTAAAGGTGACTGTGGCAGTGTGAGTTCACAGTCTTTGTGCAGGTCATCATGAGAAATTGCGCATCCAGATCCAAGTATAGAACTAAGATTGCACCATAGAGCAATATTATTTCATGTTCATTCCACTTCAAACAAACCACTTGCTACAAACAAACCTGAACAAACCAAACATAGGTACATATTCCTTAAAACTACAAACGTCATGTCTAAAAGTGTTTTTATGTGATTTACAGGTGCCTGAAAAAGAAAAGGAGACTGCAAGGAAAAACTATAGTGTGTTAGATCTGTTCAAAACCAGCACTGTCAGGATCACAACGCTCAACCTCTTTGTAATATGGTATGTATTGTATTTATGTAGCATATTTTATAAAAAAAAAAAAATATTCCAAAGTGCTGAACAGATAAAAGCAACACACTCAAATATGCAAGTCTGCCAGATTAAAAAAAAAAACAGTTAAAATAGGATCAAAATAAAATTATCTATAAACAAAAATAAACATAAAACGATTAAATAGATAGAGGACCACACAACTCACGCGGTGTTAAAAGCTAGAGAGTTGCCTCACAACCCTGATCTTTGGTCATGAGCGTTGCTATGGACACAACAATGACATTGGACAGACCATGCTAATTTTCAACACTAATGAGAGATGGCGTATAAAAGCAGTCAAAATGAACTTCCTCTGGAGAGTGGTCGGGCGCTCCTGTAGAGAGGATGAGGAGCACAGTCACACGAAAAAGAGCTCGGAGTAGAACCGTTGCTTCTCCGTGTTGAGAGGGGTCGATTGAGGTGCCCTGGGCATTTGTTTTGGATGCCACTGCTCCTGACCGGTTGGCCTTATAGTTGCTTTGAAGTATGGGTCAAATGCAGAGGACGAATTTCCATTCAGGGACAGTAAATTGTAGCCGACTTCATTTGGAACAAGAGGAAGCACATCGGTTAAAGTTAAATTGCTGACAAAGGGGTGAGGGTTGGTTTGGATTGCAGAACTTGCAAAACTACTTCTTTAAAGTCCTACAAAATTAAAGGATTAGTAATGGGCGGATATTGAATCATGGGGATCTCTTTATTGGGGCGGACATTGCATACTTTGGTGGAACACTTCGTGCCTTGTATCATTTAGTTTTGTATTCACTTGTCAGCCAAGAGGGATGTCTGGTACAATTTAGAAACAATCAGAGCTTTTCTAAATATCTGTTGTTGTTTACCTCAACTCTTTTCATTTAAACAATAGGCTTCATATTCACGTCTCAATAAGTAAAGTGTTTTAACAGGCATGCACATAAAAGATAATGACTGCCTTAATTAAAGGCTTTGGACCCAGCACATTCCTGAAAGTAATGTATCTGAATGTCCTTCTCATACCACGTTTAATACAAGACATTATCAAACAAACAACTTTTGACCTGTGAAAATGTTCAGCCATCTAAGAGGATGAATGATGAAGATTTGATTACTTTTCATGTTTTAATGATCTCTTATTGCCCCTAAACTTCTGGACTGATGCCATAATGCTTGCCAGATGGTAAATAAAAGGGCACCCTGTGAACCCAACAGAAATGTATTTTTGCCAAAGTGCAAGTCTGAGATAGTCAGTTATCTGGTTTAAAATGATATCTCTGGTTACATGCTTCGATGCCTTCATATTAGCAAGTGTGTGGGCTGAACATCTGTTATTGGTCAAACTTTATGACTTGTAAACGTTTGCAGCATGAGTAATAACAAGCTTAGTTACATATAAGCTTATATGTTAAATAATGTATGTATCTGTAAGATGGCCGTCTTAACCCATCTTGCAAAGTAGTCTCTAAGGAAAGTACCATTCAGAATCTCTATTTAGAGGAGTCCTGGCCCAGAGAGAGGGGACATGAGGAAAACAGGAGCAACTGTGGGAAACATGCAATGCATTATGTTTGTTTTGATCACAAAATCGGATACAGATTCATTTTAATTGCCTTTTGCAGTAAAACCACATTGAAAAACATTTGCAAAAGTCCTCAGTGTGCACAAGTTAAGTACATAAATAAAACAATGTTAAAATTGTCACTGTGAAATCAACAAAAAGAGTTTCAGCACATAGCGCAAGACCACGAAAGTGCTTTGTTCAGACTGATTATTGTGGACAGAAACTTTTAGCAAAACAACATGTCCTGCATCTCAATGAATGATATCTTCTGCCAGAGGGAAGAAGCTGGAACATGGCTTTTCCAAGGTGGCCAGAAGAGTCATTATTTTAAAAGCTCAGTTTATTCATTCATAAAAAAACTTCCAGAACAGGCAGCTCACAGTCCTCTTTCAGAACTGAGCCCCATGTTTAGAGCTCTTCTTTCCTTAGCTGTGATGTCACCAAAACCCACAGTCACAGAACCAACAAGCAAACTTTCAATAGTGTAGCGATAAAAGTTAAGCAGGAACATTGCAACAGTCTTTGACGATTGTTTGATTTTTTTTTGTTGTACTTTCTATATGGAAGATTTCCATGTCATCTTACATGCACTTTTCTAAACTTGTCCCATGGTACGAATGCTAAAGTGTTGCTATTTAGTTCTTGTATCTTTTCCTTCAGGTTCATCATGTTTATGGCCTATTACACGCTGAACTTGAACACATCACAGCTTCACCCAAACCCGTTTTTGAGCTGTTTCATTTCAGGATTAGTGGAAATCCCGGCCTACATCATCAGCTGGCTCAGCCTCAGGTACTCACTTCAAAACATTTAATTATAGACCAAGTATTTGCCTCCTTGCGATCATCATAGCTATTTACTAAGGTCTGGTTTGGACATTACCAAATCTCTCCTCAGCTCACTATAAGATTTACCTTACTTTTTAATTATCATACTTATGGCGAATCATATATAACAAACTCACTTGACCTTTAAAAAAAATAATGCTTATTTGGATGTAAAGGAGATTCCGTCGCCGCGCTGCCATCATTGTCAGTTTGTGTCTGGGAGCTGCGCCAATTTATTTGGTACAACTGGTGCCAAGAGGTGAGCATGTGATATATTTCTAGATTATTCCTGTTCTAGTGTTTATTCTGTCTTTACATGGACCTTAGATGAGCTTTTTGTCGAACGCATACAGCTTGGAATTGTTTGTATTGCACTGTTCATACAAAGTGCTCAACTAAATAATACTTTATTTGACAAAAAAAGTGAAAAAGAGAGGACCAATCTGAACTCAGCCTGTAAGTTCTCAGTCCAAAGTTCCAAATGGGGACTCTCTTTAATACAATTATGAAAATGACCGACCACATGTTTTCTACTAAGAGGAAGAAAACATTGAATGGTTTGGTTCACAAAAACACCTCTCAAAGACTTTCTGTTGGGACAAACTAAACATACTACATCCATCAGGCTTCACTGATTACAGATCATCAATGAGACAATACTGAGATCTTGTCCAATCCCCACTCATTCTACTTCCAGATATGCCCACTCTGTCCTTGATCGTGGAGATGGCGGGCAAGTTCTCGTTCACTGCCGGGACATGCCTCATGTTCACCTACACGTCAGAACTGTACCCCACACCGCTCCGGAACACAGCCACCGGGGCCTGCTCCATGGTGTCCCGCATCGGCAGCTGTGTGGCCCCCTTTGTGCTCAAACTCCGTCAGTATTCAACACATTTATAATAATAATAATAATACATAGGTTTTATATAGGGCTTTTTTTGGACACTCAAAGATGCTTCACATGTCATTATTCATTCACGCCATGCACGGTGGTGATAAACTACTACTGTAGCCACAGCTGCCCTGGGGCACACTGACAGAAGCAAGGCAACCAGTATGTGCCATCAGCCGCTACAACCATCACACTCACACACACCAGACTCATTCTAGGCAATGAGGTGTCTTAGTTTGGCACTTTACAGCCACAGCCGCCCCACTGTGGTACCTGGTGTTCCCAGAGGTCAAGTGTCTTGCCAAGGACACAACAACAGGAACATCAGTGGGAGTCGGAGGAGAAAGTCTTGTGGTGGGTTCGAACCCAGTGATATATTGAAATACATCAATAAAAGTTACATATTCTATTGTTTGTATGCAATATCCTGTCACTGTTATAGTATCAAATACCAACATGTATTTATTCACATTATTAATATTAACTGTAATAATACATAAAATATATATATATATATATATATATATATATATGTATATGTATATGTATATATATGTATATATATATATATATGTATATATATATATATATGTATATATATGTATGTATATGTATATGTATATCGTTTTAGTCCAGTACATGTACTCCCCAACATGGCAACAATTACAGTATCATGGATCAGGAGACTCTGATCCTTCTTTCTTCTTGTGTTTCAATCCTTGCTGTTTGCTTCTGTGCAGGTGCGGTCGGGAGGTTCCTGCCTCATATTACAGTCGCCACACTCAGCTTGTTTGCCGCCTTCGTCACTCTCTTTATCCCCGAGAGTTTTGGACACTCGTTACCTGAAACTATGGACCAGATGGCAACAAGAGAAAGGTAATGTCAGCCAGGTCCAGGTGATGTCACAGAACGGAGACATAGTATCCAACAGGGAATATTGTAATACACCTTTGATGGTTTATTTTAGTCCTATTTGGATCACCAGTTACAGTCATCCACTTTACGCCCATTATTATGAGGTTATGTTCATGTGACATCACAACATTCCAAAGAGCCTGGGAACATCTTTTTTTGTCTCCCACTGTGCAATGAATAAAACTTAAAAAGCAAAAAATAGATAAATCTTATAAAACTCTTTCAAGCTAAGTATGATAACTGTCAAAAGTCATACTACTAGTTGTGGCTAATTTCTCTCTAATTCCTTGGCGAATCCACATGGTTTAATAATTTTCTCATGAATGATGAAGTGGAAACAATATCCGATATATTCAATATTCAATATTCGGTAGAAAGGATGTTCAGATATAATGATTTAATTGAAAAAACACGGCTGTTTGTAAATCTAATCACTATCAACTAATGATCTGGGGAAACATTAGACATTTATTTCAGATCACAAACGCAACCTATGATGGATTTGTGTGTTTTTGGCCCTTTCGTGACATAGCATTACAGTATTTAACCCTTACCAGTTCACATTGATAGACACAATTTTTAACTAATTAAAATTAATTATATTTAATACATTGAATTATTTTCCAATATTGTAAATATATTCTAAAATGTCCATGCCTCATTCTTGTTTGCTCACTCTGTTTTTTAACATATTTTACAGTATACATTGTCCATGCCAAAGAAAAAAGGGACCCACTCGGACCATTGTACCTACAGATCCTATTTGAAGACCCATATTTACTGCACTGACAAAGGAGGATATTTACACTGGGTAGTGGTCCACTATCTGTGTGTCCTGTTTGTGAGACACAAACAGAACAGGTCATTAAACTGTATATAGAGTTAAAACACTATTGACTAAAAAAAGTGCCCGACACCTTTAGAGACAAGCGTGGTAGAAGATTAACAAAACAAATTAGAAAAAATATGTTTCGGGATCAACTATTGTCGACATTGATGGTTGGTCCATATAGCTTTGGGGCACTTTATATTATAAAGACATGTTTAAAATGGCTAATGTAATGGTTATGGCAGTTGTCTATCAAGGACAAAACATATGCACAAGATACAAGCACACAACTGTACTCAGGAACAGTTTTACAAAATTGTACTGTAAACATTCCTGCCAATTTAATATTGAACTTTATATTTTGTACGATGTGTTTTTTTCTTTGTAAGTTGGTTGAATTGGCATAGTTACATTGCCACTGTTGTGTTTTTGACAATAAAACAATTTCTTCATGTCTTTCATCTTCAGAGCCTTATGTCTCAATCCTTGAATAGTTGGAATGTGAAGAAGGAACTAAAGTGTTGTGCGTCAGTATTAAATCACAATGTGCGTGAGGGCCAGACATGGGGAGTAACATACGTATTCAGAATACACATTTATACTCATTTGAATACAGTTAACATTTGGGAACCCCATGAAGACTAGTAACCTGATTATAAATACACAAAAAGGGCATGATATGGTCTTTTATATCTGAGAAGAAAAAAACTTTTCCTGTTGCATGTGTTTTAAAATCATTCTGGCCAATAAGTATTTACTTTGTTTTGGAATTTGAAGTAATATCTTCAGTATAAAATGCTCCTATACTACCGGGAAATAGATTCGTTTGGTTTTTACATTTCTAAATTACTGGAATTTAGTAATTTACTGGACAGAAAATAATTTCAATTAAGAAATTGTAAAAACTAATGCCATAAACAGTGGTATTATTACTAAATAATGGTTTATAGGATTGAGACAGCAGCTAATAAAAAGAAGCGTAGATTATCGTTACATGATTATGTCTCCTTTAATGTTTTTTATATACAATATCAGAAAATAAATGCTAAATGGTACAAAAAGAAGTGATTTTAATCCATCACTGCATATATTACACACAAGCGTCAAAGTAGTCCGGGGGTTTCAGAATATTATTCCGAACATGTAGAATACATTAAACTGCTGCTATACTGTAAGGAGCTAACTCATTTTGATAACTAAACAAATTAATTTTACATTAGTCATGCATGTTTCTGACGCATTTTTCCAAATTCTACGTGGAAACGGTCGAGCAAGTGATTGTTTAAAGTAACAAAACAGCAGCAGCAAAGGAAGAATCATTGTGCCATGTCCTGAGTCACAATCATTTCAACACATCATTTTAAATCATGAACTATTTTTAATATTTAATTTGAAAACACAAGTGCATTGTCCAGTGAGGAGTCCGGGTTGAAGAATGAAGATGCTAATGTCTCAAAAATAGGTTTGAGAAGAAAGTCAACCGTAACATAACAATTTAAAACATTGACATTTATATAAAAATCGACAACGTTTGTGAGTTTTAATTGGAGATTATTTTCTGAGCAGCTTTGGAGTAAGGTGATTTTGTCCCATATTGTTGCAGCAGTGCTGTAGATTTTTGTTTTAAAGTCTCTGAGACGACCGACGACGAGCGATCCAAAAGGAGTAGGACCAAGCAGCACTCCAGCACGTCCGGACGAGGGAAAGACTGTGGAAAGAAGCACACATTATTATTTCATTGAGATGCACAACACTACAACACATACATTTGAAAATATTGTCATAATATAGTTTAATATGTGTAGAATGTCGTATGAATTATGAGCCTCCTTTTGACATTTCTTTAAAGTCAGTGGCAAATTTAAAGCTGGGGTATCTAACTTTTAAAAATTCATAAATACATTTGGTTTGTTCACAACATGTTTCTATGACAACATGCAATCGTCAGCTTATTAGGAAACATCTGATCTTTTCCATACTTCTCAGAAAGAGCCCAGTTTGTTCTGAGAGCTGATTGGCCGAGTGTGGGTGGTCATTTTTCACTTTGATATCTGAAGAAACTGATCTAAAGAGAGGGTTCATACAGATTCAGCTTAGGTTTCCCATACTTTCCCATATTTTTTTTCAAAATGGGTATTGTAAAAAACTTTTCATGACTGTACAAACCCTGTAGAGATGTGACGGACGGCAAAAATGCATGCATGTGAAAATTAGTGACAGAGCCAAATTAGCTTTCTATGTATTCGAGTATACATATTTATATAGAATCCCCCCTCCTGGGGTCCGTGGGGGGTCAGGGGTGTTAAGAGGGATTTTTTTTAACATCTTTTCGTTTTTAGTTGTTCAAAAGTTAGGCACCCCAGCGTTAAGTATTCATTATTCACCCATCTTACAAACAAGCTCATTCTTCTCCAAGGTAAGGTCCTGTGCCAAAGGTTTGAGTTAATAAATCACACAATGTCACCAGCTGATCGGTTCATGTTGTATTTTCAAACTCTAAAGCAGCCATTGTTTACAAATGACCAAAAAATCGTAAACCAAACTCACTAAACTAACCACCTCTGCTGTATGGATTCTGATCCTGTGGCGATTCACTGAAACGAACCAACACTCCATTTCAGAGGCAACTCCCTCAAAGCAAACCTGACGTAACCGCAAACACACCAAAGCCAACCTGCCTCTGGGCGAGCGACTTTAGCATAAGAACACACCGTGACTGAGTCTGGCAGCTCCGACAGACGCTTCTGACACTGGGCCATCTTCACAGACAAAGACAGGAATGTTTCAGGCTCGTCGCTGCAAAACAGAGAAGACCATGTGCTGTCAATAGTCTTCATACAATAGCTGCATGTGGATGGCATTCTGTGGATAGATAATATAATAATGTGGTGAATAAACAGTCACCAGGTAAATGGGCAGTAAACGCAACTTTCTAAAAACTGGTATTGGGGAAATCTGCATCCACTAAAACAGTGTTTCCCAAAAAAGGTGCACAAACCCTGTGGGGTATGCAAGGGTATTATAGGGAGTACAAGGAATGATTTTCAACCAATACTAACTTGAAATCATTGATAGTAACAGGTTTATAAGGGCTTTCATGTCATGTTATTTATTATTTTAAAAAGGCAATTCTCTCAAGAATTGAACCCATACTGAAAACAATAGTAACACTTGAAACACATCAGTCCCCAATATCCTTTCTTACTTTGGTCCAGTTTAAATATCCACAATTATTGTTTCAGATAAATATATTCCCGCCCACCTACTTACTTGCAAAAAAAAAATACTATGGGATTTTTGGGCTTTAAGCCTTCATCAAGCAATAAATCATTCGTTTGATTCACCTGTAGGCTTTACAGCACCTCATCTGGAGGAATTGATAAGTTAAGCAATCATTTGGTAATTTGTCCCCCTAACATCAGGTATAGGGCACACATGGAAAAACAGTTGGGAACCAATTCATTAGGGGTTGGATCCATTTGCAATCTTGATATGCAATTATTAAATCAACACACAAAAATCCAATTAAAAAAGCATTTGGATGAAAATAACTAACATTTCAATACACAAACCTTAAATCCTAAACTTGGCACATAGAGCATCGTAAATCCTCTCACCCATTAGCAGTGGCTTCTTGCCCTTGTGCAGGTGTAGTGTCTCCCTTCTCCTCCTCTGCCTCTGGCCCCAAGCTCCGATGTTTGGTCATCAGGGAGTTGAGTTTGTCCTGGATCTCGCTCATGGCCCTCTGCGTGTCCTGAGCAGCGGCTGCCGACTCGCACAGCAACACGTCCAAACCCAAATCAGGCACAGATCCGTTCGGCTCGGTCCCGTTTCCGTTCGGCAAAGAGCTGCTCCACCAGAGTTCGTACAGTCGGAGGTAGCGGGTGAAGGATTGTAACGTCAAGGCAACGGCGGACGGTTCTTCTGAAGGCCTCTGGTTTGAGAAAGCGCCAACGTCTCCTGGGGGCGAGAGACTTCTTTATTAATCTCAGTGAAGCAGAACAAACAGCGGGGCTTCATTTTGGAGAGTCCTACTCATGAATGCACCAATGCCAAAGTAATACCTAATCTAGATGAACAAAATAGACTTATGAATGATAAGACAGACTTTTTCCAGTAATTATTCCTGGCTGTAAAAAGTGGTTGGAAGTGCTTGTCGGACGCTGATTAGAAGTCTCCATCCCCCAGTTCTCAACAGCATGTACTGCCCCTTTATGACAGCTTGAAGTCTTCTGAGATATGGTTCTTTGTCCGCTCTGAAGGGAAAGCTGCGCATTGTTCTTGACACTAAGTCTCCAGTTCCTCTACATTCCTGGGCCGCTTTGTATGGACTGCATGTTACCACTAATAATAATCATAATTACAATATAGAAACATATGTGTTACTGTCACATTACCGAGTCACTCTGTCCCATACCTTTGTGCTGCTAACATGTACAGATGCATACACACAACTATTTTTCATTTGCACTAGAATATACAGCATTCTCTCATTATTATGCTAAAGTAAGAGTTTTTGTACTTTAAGGCATATTAGGATTATTTTATAATTCCAGGTGGATCATCAAGACCATTGATCATTCTGGTGATACGTGCTCGTCAAACTAGACCAGAGAGTGTTGTTCAAAAAGTGGAGAGCGGTTCTTTCCTAAAATTTGGGAAAATCCTATATACCTTTAAGACTTCCTTCTTCATCATGCTTAGACGTATTTCCTTATGCTAAAGATAGAGATTTAGTACTGCTTCTTTTTTATGCTAGAGTTAGAGATTTTATTTTATTTTAGTATAGGGTTATTATTTATCTGGTGCTGTCTGCTCCTTATTCCTAGTTCTCTGTAACTTGTGATACAACACTGAAATTTCCCCACAGTGGGACGAATAAAGGATCTCTTAATTTTAATCTCCAAAAAAAGGCCAAAAGAAATATACTCCCTGCTTCAAATTCAAGCACGACTGGATATACACTTCACATGAATGGGACGAAGTATTTACAATGTACTGAATAAATATGAGCAGTACTTCACCTTTTAGAGACATAAACCGTGAGACATTCCTCATTTTGATCTGGCTGTGATAAAGTCCAGAATGCTATAAAAAACATTTGTAAATGTCTTGACAGACAAGTTTTGTACCGTCAGGGAACAGTAGGTGGCAGAGTCGTGAAAATGCAGAGAAGTGAGCGTCCTTGACCAGGCACACAGCCCACCACAGCTCCTTCATCGTCTGCTCGTCTTCATCAGACATCAAACACAGGAAGGCACGAGTGAGGTGCAGACACGAGGACACGACAACCTGCAGGGGGCGCACAAAGCACATTTAGCTTTGATGCAACACTGACCCTATTAAAAAAAAACATACAAATAATCAATCCATTTTATTTATGGAGCCCTTTACAACACTCAAGGCGACCAAAGTGCTTTAGAATAAAATTACATAAAAAAACATTTATCAATAACTATTTTATTGTTTGAATGCATAAGCATTTTTAAAAAATACTTTTTAACTGTCACCTTGGTCTAGAGAGAATTGAGTTCTTAGTGGGACAAGGCATGCATTGCAACATGTAGAAGAATTTCTGAAAGCAAGGTTTTTCGACATGTGGAATGTCGAAAAACCAAATCTGGAGCATAACAATTTCACTTTCACAGCTCAGACAAATATCACTGGGAGAATAAGATTTAGGGACCTGTAATAAAGCAACAATTTCCATGTAAAATGACTAACTTCACTAACTTTCTTTGAATTTCTCACATGAAAGAGATTGACGTTTTAATAAATATAATAATGGTAAATAATAAACATAGTTGAGTAAAAAAATCAGAGAAATCAGAGAAAAGTCCAGTTGTATTGATTCGGGCATATCCATAGAGTAAGGGGTTTAAGTTGTAGTGGGATAACCTTGATTTAAAGTGCTAAGTTAGAGAACAAACAGAGCATTTTCCCAATTAGAACTGTTTATTGTTGTTGTGATATTTTGCTAATATGAAATCTAAACATTTTAAAAATCCATACCTGCTTTAGTGGAACATTTGCCATTGACTGTGGGATCTCTACAGACTGCAGTTGTTGTTGTAAACTCTTGACACACTGAGGTCCCTGCGAAGTACGAGTGACTCCAAACTTTTCATCCCAGACTTGCTCCACTCGTTGCCGAAACGCAAGGTTGTTTTCGGCTGATGTCCAGAGACCGCTGCTCGCTCCAGAGGACGCACACAAGCCTCCGGGTTCAGACAAAAGCTGAGACAGGAGCTCAGCCAAAGAGAAATGAAGTCTGTGGGCCTGTGAGGAAGAAGACAGTAAACAGAACTTGAAGAAAGTCATAGTTGAGGTATTCCAACATCAATGTTATTTACAATGAGAAGCCAGAACACTTTAAACTGACTGATAACAGATCAGCTGTGCACTTATACCATGGCTAAAACCATAGTTCTGTGTGTTGTCAGTTTAACCTCTTAACAACCGCCTCATTTTGGCTCGTGCACAATGGTTGGGCATACCCAAATGTCTTTGCTTATTTAAAAACACATCTTACATCTCACATGCTTGTGTGATGCATCATTTTAAAGCTAGAGCCTTCTAGTTTATGTAAAAAAACACTAAAATAATGTTTGTCATTCCTATTTTCCTCTGCATCCTTTGAAGTTAGGGAAAAAACCCCAATTTTTTTAGCCTCGCCTAACATTTTCAATGTCTAAAGGCCCTAAAAAAGGCATACTTCATTGTAAGTTCACAATATTCAAACCCTCTGTTCATTGTGTTGTTGACAACAACTGTCTAAAGTTTCAGACTTCTAAGTTTTATAGTTTTTATGCAGTTTCTCCTTTTCATCAAGTAGTGCACATTTGGCACAATTTGGCACAAGTGTGCCAAATTGTGCCAAATATCTTTACTTACATTTAATCATCATAAAAACAATATTTTTTATTATTGGTACTTATAAGTTACTAATCTATGTGTGTTTTTCTTTTTTAAATGTCAAAGTTATTTTTTTATGAGTGTAAATTCATTGCAGATTCGAGAGCGTCTTTTATCTTCCAGTACGCACAATGGTCCAGGCCCAAGATAAGACAGGACACCATTGTCCCACCCCTTGTTCGAAAGCTTTCCTCATTGGCTACAAGGACATGTCAATCGTAAATCCCGGAAGTAAACGTAAACAAGTTGGGACCCCACAAAAGATCAGTCACCAATGCGCAAACAGCAGCGCTAGCGTTATTTGCGGGACCTATTCAGACCCAAAAATTGGTCTAGCTTTTCGGGAGTAGTCTCATTTGAAAGATAAGGAGCTAAGGAACACGTAGATACCAGATGTTCGGGTGAAAAACAAAGCTAAAAGTCCGTTACAAGTGAAAGAGTAACATCTGTGCTCTTTTTTTTCGTTTTTTTTCGCTAAAGATAAATGCACATTTTTGGATTATTTCTGCAGAATGGATTTTACTTTGGGAAATACAAGTGGATATAATTTTCCTTTGGACTGTTCCAGAGAGAATGATGTATTGCAAGCTGGGAGGAGAGCTGATTTATTTGTACAGCACAAGCCCAAAGGTAAAGAACTATTTCCGAATTGATTTATTTTGTGCCCACATTATGTGTTATATCTTTTGAATGCAAAGTCTGATGTAGTTTACACTTGTATGTAAATGTAGATAAGAAAATAAGCTTTAAAATGATATACAGCTTTTGGGGTTTGGTGTTCAAAATACATCTGCTATTGCCAGCAGAACATTTAAAAACATAAAAACAACCCGCCGGCGGGTTGGTGGTTGCTAAGCTCGAAGCCATCAAAATGTCTTTTTACTTTAATGACGTTTTACTTCTGTCTGCATCTGCACATCATCAATTTGCTCCAACGTTAAAGGGGCTATCACTTTTTCACACACGCAAATCCTTTGTGAGAAAGGAAAAGTTTATGGACTTAAATTAAACTGAGGTGCTGATTATTCTTTGTTTGGTTTGTAATCCCAAGTATATAAGTACCTTTATTACTGAGGTCATAGTCTAAGGATTCATACATACAGTACATGAGCTGTCCACCAAACCATTATTTACATGTTGAAATGTAAAGAACTAAAATGCCTTATGAATCAGAGTATTTTCATTATTGTATAATTTTTGACATTCCATTTATTTCATTGATCCCTCATATCTTCAAGTGACCACTCTCTAAACTTTCAGAGATATGGATTTTAAATAAAGTCATTTGATTATAAATGTCATGTTGAGACTGGACTGACCAGCAGAGCTGTGTGCTGGTGCAGGACGTCCTGAGCAGAGCTCCAGTCTTGGGCCAGGACCAGCTCTTTAGCACAGCGCAGGGACAGGGACTGAGACAGAGACGCCTCTCCACAGATCTGAGCCAGATGTGCCGCCGCACGCAGAGAAGACACCTCCTTCTTCCTGGAAATCACTTTCGCTGCGTCAAAACTGGAACCAGCTGCAAGATAACTGAAGAGGAAACAGACAGATCATCTTAACAGACTTAAGTTTCTGTTATGGAGGACAATAAACCACAATGAAATACTTACAAGTACACACATAGTTTAGTTATAAAACAATACTATTCATATTTAAGTAACATTCTGATGTTGAAATGTGGAGAAAATAAAAAGAACCTAAATATGTATAAAATCAAAACTCTTGTGATTCACTTATGTATCGTAAGAGACTAGAAATAAATCTCCAAATTAAGATCAAAATACAGAGGAAACAATGCAATATCTTATTTTTGTTGATCATTTACCTATTTGAAGAAAAAAAAAAAACGGTATTTATGTTTCTTTCTTGCCAATGATATTACAAATTAAGCACAAACACGTCAGTAAGACAACCTTGACCTAAACGAAGCCAACACCGCCCTCTGCTGGCAAGTTTAAAAATAAAAACTCGTGTGACGTGGGAAGAGACCAGGAAGACATTTTTAGATCACACCAGACGTTTGTTTACAGCAGCGTTTTCTGTTCTTCCAGACAGAATGGCAGAATTCTTTGAAGACCTTTTGACTTGTAAGCTTTGTCTGGACACATTCAAAGACCCCGTGACTCTGAGCTGCGACCACAGTTTTTGCAGCAGCTGTTTGCAGAGAAACTGGGACCAAAACAAGACTGAGACCTGCCCCATTTGTGGAAGGAAATCATCGAAAGGTGCTCTGGTTGGGAATGTTACTCTTAAACAAATGGCCGATTCCTTTTCTCAAAAGCAAAAAAGCAAAGCGGACTAAGAGGAGGCAGCTGGCAAAAAGCAGCTGAAATGAAGAACACCAGGGAATGCCTTTGGGAATCCCAGGGTTTGGAAACGATTCTCCAAGTTTGTCTTTCTTAATGTTAATGCAAAAAAAATACATTAACATAATTTTAATCCTTCCCTTTTTTTTCTCCCATCTTTAGGATCAGAATTGGGGAATGATCCAGAGAATATAGAAAACCAGAAAATGACCTGCGTTTGAAATATCTACATTACAATACATTAAGTGGATGGGTGCATTGTGGGAACATTAAATTGATGTTTTCATAATTTGTGTGGATTTACGTATTATTTTAATGACAATAAAAACAAAAATGTTGTGTTACTATTTGAATTTGCATGTGGGTTATTACCATATTCTGACAACAATTGTGCTTCCGACGTGACAAGACCAGAATGGTGTTACGTGTAGTTTACCGTTTGAATCGATCTATCATATTAGATATACGGTTATGAGAGAAAAAAAAACAGGCTTATAGGACTTTAATTGAGAGAGAAGTTGCAGAAGAACCAACATTTTCTGAGAAAATTGAGGATTAGAAAAATGACAGTGGGATGATAATGAAGGAAACTCACCTTAATAAAATCTAACAAGTGGAACAAAAAGGTGACATAGAAAGATAAACACTGAGTGTTTCTTTGGGCCCCTCTTTTTCAGCCTCTGGTAAAAGGGGAAAGTAATCCTTCTCTCAACTGGTATCTTTATATACAAAGAAACAAAAGTATCAAACCATTTTGCAGCTGCAGAAAAGTGTCCGTCCTTCTCCAGCACTGCAGCCCAGCTCTGGTACAGCTCCTTCAGGACCGGGTCGTCCTGAGGCAGTCGGGCTTTCACCAGAGCAATGGCCTCTCTGAGAATACATTCACCAAACAGAAATAAACATGTCAAAACATTTTATTATTGTACATTTTGTAAAAAAAAGAACAAAAAAAAAATATATAAGAGCCAAAACTCAGAAACTCATTTGGGTTGGCAGCTAGATTTCACCTACAAACTGGTATGCCTACATGTGCTTTTTTTTATACATTTCAATAGGTAAAACCAGAGAATTACACACGGAAAAAGACCAAAATTATAGGTTTCAACATCACCTCTAAGTTTCGCCTCGTTTTACATTGCTAATCACTATGGAAATGGCATGTTTCATAACTCTGAAAAGTGTATTTATAAATGTCTCCTGTGTGAGATCTTATCTTATCTTATTGCAATTTATCACATATTTGAAACAATATCCATGACACTATTTCTACAGAGATGATTTCATAATTATCCTTCCTGTACTGTGGACATTCAAAACAAGACGAGTGACAGAGAAACCAAAGTTGCGCAGTGGCCCTTTAAGAATCACAGACCTGTAGAGTTTGTGAGAGCGCAGCAGGCCTACGGCTTCGTGCAGTTTGTTGACGGACAGTAAATGAGACGCGGCTTTGACGAACTGCTCCTGGAGACACAGCTGCTTGACGTACGAGTCCACAGCTGCGCTCCACACCGAGAACCCAGCTGCGAGAGACACAAGGGAGATCAGAACATCAATATTAACACGTTTTCATATTTGTGCTTTAGGCATTAGAATAAGCATTTGTTGGTTTATTGAATAAGGGGAGGGATAGTGTAATTCTATATCATGGTTTACAAAGAAGATTGATCTTTGAAGTTGGCATTTCGTTATTTCACCTAGTCCTGCCACTTACTTGGTTTTCACTCCTGGTGAAAGGTACCACAGAAACGCAGACGGCTCAGAGGACCAGGAAGTACAATCAACCAATTAGCGACTATTTGTAGTTCAACATTCTAGTAGTTCTCCATGTGTTTGAAAAGATCCTCGACACTTTTTTAACCCGAGGTGAAATGCATTATTGTCTTGCTTCCTTCATTTGTCACAACCAAACAGCAACAAATGGCTATGGCAATAAGGTACCCGCCCACTGGGGAGTAAACTAATGTTTTAATTTTTTGTTTCTATGAAGTTAAATAAAACCAGCTGATGCATCAGGCTACCATTTCATATCCACATACAGTATGAACACGGCCAAATTCACAATCTTCAAATCCACAGTTTACAGCTAGACAAGCACTAATACGGCAAAAGTAAACGCATAATTAAAAGGTATATGGGAGGATTTTCGTCACATAAGACCAGTTTTGTTCAAAAAGTGGAAATGGCAGTTCTTTCCTAAAATATGCGAAACTCCTTCGCAAACCCCTCTATATATACTTTAAGGTTGAGTAACAGTGAAATAAAAAAACATTTTTACACACATTGCATTTTTGATTAATTATACTTCGACCTAAATTCCTTTGAATACAGTCTAGACAATGAATGTGATACATGACTTTTAACTGAAACAGGATTTTATATATACATAGAAAACACACACATTGGGATAGAGAGTTATTCCTAGTAAGCACCAATAGTGTTGTAGTAATGGTACAGTGTGAAAGTCCAAACCTTTGGAGTGGAAATGCTTGGCACGTACCCATTGGAGCGAGAGAAAGCAGGTGGTCATTGAGCTCTCCTCTCTCTGTGGCCAGCTGTAGCGCCCCCTGGAGGTCTCCGCTCCACAGCCGCAGGTAAACTGTTGTTTCAAAGTGCCCTGCCTCGATGTGGGCCTCCTCTGAAGAACAACGCGTACAATTATGTCGGTGTCAACGTGGATTTCTTGCATTCTTTCTCATGTCGTACGTGCCATTTCACAAAATGCTTGAGAAACTAAACTCACCTTCTGCCTCAAACATTCGGTACAAAGCCTCTCGATCAGAAAACAAACCCAGATGGACATGATCCCCTTGTCCCGGGACGCAGCCATTAGGGGGCGCTATAACAACAAGAGAAAACCATATGGATTCTGTCACTATAAGGGACATAATAAGGTTTGTATTACTAGGTTAGCTCTACGTCTCAATTCCAAGTCCAAGGAATAGGTTCGACAATAAGAAAATGTAAATGTGCACTTTAATTATCCTTGTAGGGAACCTTCTGCATTTGACCCATCCTGATGCCACTAGGGCCTTGGTCAGTGGCAGTGGTCCCCATAGTAGTGCCTGGGAACCCATCTCCAGTATTGATGCCCAGGTTGGTCAGTACTACCAGGGGATTTTACCTATAGTACATGTTTTTAATGATAGGGGAAACCAGAGCACCTGGAGAAAACCTACACAGACACAGGGAGAACATGCAAACTCCACTCAGAAAGGCGTTGCTCCGACTGGGATTTGTTTTACTGGGCAATTATTTTACATAAATAACAATACAACATAATATATGTGTGTCTTTTTGTGACTTTTCTCAGTTTGAATACTTAATAATACTTATAAAAATAATGAGTGTCTAGTTGCAATACTAGTTTTAAAAATGGAGTAATATCTGATTTTTTATACTTTTCACAACCCTTGTTAGCACTACTCACAGTGGTGTGTGACAGAAGCCAGAGTGACACAGTCCTGCAGCAGCTCGTCTTTGGGCCGATGGTCCATGGAGGTGCTCAGGACAAGCATCGAACGCGGCTTCTTCTTTTTCAGGGATGAGACCATCACCTCTGGGAACATTCACAAAAACATCACTACATTGACAAATAATAATGCTTTTCTCGAGTCTTTAATCCATTTAGCTTTAGCTTTGTGTCCCTCTATAGTTTTATTTTATTCTATTCTAATATTTTTACTATTTTATTGTATTATGGATTATCTTAAATAATAGCGCCCATGTGATGTGTGCAATCTGAGTGGTCTTATGTCCTACTTTTTATTCTGTTGTAATGTGTAATTTCCCCACTGTGGAACAAATAACTTATATTATCAACCTGTATATTTTATCAAGCAATATCCAAAAAGCAAACTTTCATTACAGCTTCACCAAAATCATGAACCACATAATAAACATGTCTAATAATAGCTACTCGGCCCCAAAACAGTTTGGATCAACCCACAGTTTCAACATCTTTAGATCAACTTTTTAAAATGGAAAGAAAATATAGTGGTCTGATGTGTTCTCGACATTATTGAGATGAACAAAATGTATTTATGAAACACCAAAAGAAGCTACCCCAGCTTCAATGTTTTGAGTTTGTGTTGCATTAGTTGTTAAATAAAATCTTCCATTCTCTCCTTTACCTGGCTCATCTTTGTTCTTCAACGCAGGAGAAGGTTTTTTCTGGATGTCGTTAAGAACTGAAAAAAAACAGGAATTTAGGAATCGTCAATCATTTCAATTGCTCGCTGTATTTTCATAATTACCGATAGGAGGCAGCGAGCTGTTTGTGGAGCTTGTGTCGTCGTCCTCTTCCTCAGATAGAGCCACTGCAGCTGCTGGACGCCTCTCTCCATTCACAACAGCGCCACCTGCTGACGGCTTCTTGGCTTTGCCTTTTTTCCTTTTATCCTTGAGATCAACCATTTTTTTCCCTAAACCGACATTGTTGATGTGTTACTGTATCTAAAACTACATAACAATATATAGAGACTTGAGGAGCCTTGTATCATAAAATATGATGTTATAAAATGTGTGTCCAGGGATAAAACTACATAAATTGTTAAGCAAAAAAAATTGAAAATATATTTTATTGGATCAATTCTCTAATAGGTGAGCAGCATAACTACATTAAAACAAAAATAATACATATTAGAAAAACAATTTTTTAATGCACTACATCAGGCCGGTGGTCCAAATTCACAAGAAAATAAGATCTAAAATCATGTTAAATACAGTTAGATTGTCGAAAGAAATTTTAGTGACTTTAGACTAAACAAAGGAGAAAGTACATTACCTTTGGGCGGTTTATCAAACTCCTGCTTTGACACCCTCCACTCGTGAACCGTGAAGTCTTTCCCTCCGGTCCAGACCACGTCCGGGTCCTCGGGGGACCAATCCACACACAGCACGTTTCCATGGTGACCGCGATAGTTAGACACCGGTGTTTCCTGCAGGACGTCCCACACCTGAAGATAAGAAACAAAGATTCAACTGTAACGATGACACTGAAAGAGAGTCTGTTCGGATAAATTAGTCTCATTATAGCGTCAAAGGATCAGTTAATCTAAAACAGGGGTCAAAGTCATTTTGGACAGGGGATGAATAATAAATTTAGAGTTCTGATATCGGGTAAATTATTCTGAACAAAATTTGTGACATTTGGATTGAATCAAAAGTTATATATTTTTGATCAAGTTATGTAATTGAAGTCAGAAAAGCCAATAACATTTATATTACATTATTGGTTTTTCCCCCAAAAAAATGCTTTAAAATGAATTCAAATTTAGTAGTAGCTAATTACCATCAGTACAAGTTTAGTTTAAAAAAATATTGCTACCAGGTTAACAAAGATTGTTAGGTGAGACATACATTTTTGAATATACTGTCTCAATGATCAAACTAAGACTACAGTTATGTCATTTGTTGGCTCATTGCAACAAACACAGCATTCATCATTTACAGACCTGGGCCGTGCCGTCGTAGCTCACGGTCACCAGGCGGTCGGCATGGTGATGGCTCCAGGACAGACCCGTGATTTTGGCCGTGTGTCCGCTGAGTTTGCGAAAGGGTTCAGACATGACCACTGCACTGTCCCCGGGCGACTCTGAAAACACACAAAACATTACCACCGACATATCGATAAAGAAAGAAAATATTTAAAAACACCAGTCTGAAATTAGGGCTTGAATTAAACAGCTCTGCTTGTGTAGAAGTCTCTCCATGGCCTCGCACCACGGTACAAAAATGTTAGTCCCATATGAGGAGCACAGGGACTGACCTCCTGCTGGTGCCCAAAGTCAGGACTTAACATGGGGAGGCATTTCAGATTCACGCAGCTAAAATCTGGAACAATCTTATTGAAGATGCCTTGCCTTGATTTTGCGTCATATGTCTCTTCAGTTCAATAACGCAGCTCTTAGCTCCGAAGACATTCAGACTCACCCAGCACTTGTTTGAGGTCATGTATGTACACGACGGCGTTGCTGGAGCCAGAGGCGAGCAGAGCGCTGAGGTCCGGGTTGTGGAGGCCGTGGTGCCAGCGCAGGCAGTTGATGATCTTATGATGCTGCTGGATACTGCACAGGAGCCGCAGACTGGGGGCTTCGTACACTTCTATACAACTGCAGCAGAGCGGAAGAAAGAATACATGTCGTCAATTGTGTCTTTAAAAAAAAAATGTGTATATAATTTTGACATCTTGATATATGACATAATACACTTTAAATATAGACGTTCTCACCCATCTTCATTACCAATGGCCACAGCTTTTCCATCAGGTTTCCAGTTTAGGTCTGTGTGTGGAGATAGTTTGTGCTGTTGGGAAAAACACACACATCAGTTATTTTTCTATGCTGCCTTATCCAGGTTTGTGGAGCTCAGGAGGTCAGGCTTGTTAGTTTATTAGCAATATAACAAAAAATGATAATAAATATGATTTTGGAGGTGATTCGTATCACCGTCTGGATTTTGACTCTGACAAAAAATACTCCAGACCAATATCGATACCATTTACATTTTTAGGTCAAAACAATGATAATATTTATGGTGCCCAAGCACTTTTGTTATTCTGACATACATTTGTTTCAAATCTTTCAAGAAATGTCAAACCTTCATGTAATTATTTTTGGTATTGATACTTTCTCAAATGAGTGTCTAGTTTCAGTACTGGATACTCTTGACAACAATACAACAAACATGTCTCTTTTACCTGAATGTTGTTTGTGTTTTTGATGAGTTTGTCGATGTTGAAAGCATCTCCGCCGAGCTGGTGTGGGTCGTGTTGGAGAATGGTTCCTTCTCCTGCGCAGCTGTACAGACTGAAGGCCGACTTTCCCTTTGAGGATCCTAAAACACAAGTATTCCTGTGTCACTATCTATTGTATATTGCACGATTTTTATTTTTACATGTAGGGGAAGAGTGTACAAAAAACATTAGCTAACTGAGAGATGTGTTGCACCAGGTCATAGCAGCGTCATAATTTAGGCCTGAACATATTAATTTAGCAGGAGAAGAAGTGAGAAATGGTGTGTATTGAGGATGCCATACCAAAGGAGAGCGGCGGAACAGGTGGACCCCAGGCCAAAGTGTAAACCGTTTTCTTGTGATAGGAACTTGAGATCTGAGGAGGCCTAAAAGGAAATGTAGTGTTAGGGTTTAGGGTAGTATTGTGTATTGACAATTAAATGGCAAATATAAAACCCCAACAAAACAAATAACACATTCATTCACTTCACTTTGGTTTGGACAGATATTATAATTCAAGATAGTATTTGGCCTAAAGACACATTACAATGTGTAAATGTATATAGACAATTGTTAAATAAAAGACAAAACCTGTAAATAAACCTTCTATTTCAATTTGCTTGCCATGTACATTTTGTTTAATACAATATAAAAATGAGCATAATAATGATTCCAGCATATCAAAAGTGGTTGTGGAAAAAAACAAAAGTTGTTTGTTTTTACTTGTGGGTGAAGACGCCATAGATCCCCACTTTTCCATCATCTGTGCCAAAAGCCAGAGCCCCCTCCTTTTGGGGATGCCAGGCCAACTGCAACACACAGACATTTGAAGTTCAAAGTATACACTTCCTGGTCATCCACGTCAAGGTATTTTATGAGGACAACAAAGAAAACATGCTTCTCACTAATAAACATCAAATAAAAGAAGAATTATGCATTCAAAATGGAAAGATCAGATTTTTTGGAATTGGGAAAAAACTGCAGCAGGAGCCTCTTACTGCCGTGACTTTGGACTTAATCCCCTGCCAGAAGCAGAGCGTGTCGTACTGTTTGGAGCTCTGCGTGCTCCACACACGGATCATGTTGTCCCCGACTCCGAGGGCCAGTGTCCCCGACCCGAGCGGGGAGAAGCAGAGAGAGTAGACGAATCCCCCCAGAGCCGGCAGCGTCCAGCACAGCTCCAGAGTGTTCATGTCCCAACACTTCACCTGCAGACGGACAGAAAGGAAGAGGAGATATGAGATTTGAAGTCCCCACTGAAATGAATAATGCTTTGATAAAAGAGGCAAAGATCAAGTCAGTAAAGCTGCCTCCTCAGTTCACCCTTCAACAGAAATGATTTTGTTTCACTACAGTTGGTAAAAAATACTTCCCACCCACTTTTCAACCAACGTAACTTTTCTCTCTCTCAACTAAACCTAAAGTACATTGATAAGTGACAATTTTTAGATCAGTAAAAACAATCTCTAGTGCGTCTTTGAGGTCATTTTAAATCAATTCAAATTAACTAATTTCTTACAGCCCAACAGCAATATGAAGAGTTGTTGATAAAAGTGGTGATTTACTAATAGTAGATTAAGTGCCATTGAGCAATTCTTCTCAAAACTGTCAACATCAGCCAGCTCAGATCTTTGGAGATTGAAAGAGGAATAACTAATCAATAAACTAGTTCCAATTAAGAAATTAAGATAACAGGTTGGGCAGTAATTTCCTCTTAACCTGTGGCATTTCTTTCTTTGCACCAGAATAGGCTTAAAGAAACACGGCTTATTGTTGTTTTCATATGGCTAAGTCCGACCTCTCTGTCCATGGAGGTGGAGAGCAGCAGCTGTTGTTCCTGCAGCTGGACGGAGCTGGTGTTGAAGACGATCCTGTTGTGGTTTTGTCCGTCTGAAGTCGTTCCGAAAACGCTCCACTTCTGCTTCGCCGTCTTTGCCAACTCCCAGAGCAGCAACTCGCCACTAAAACACCCAAAACAAGGATTATTCATGGATTCAAGGATTATTATTTAGGGATTTCATTACACTAGTCATTGCTTGGAAGTAAGTCACCTTTGATTGTAGAGCACCCTTCACAGAGATCGCTCACAAGTTAAAAATATCGCTTGTAGCAGACTTTTCTTGAACAGAGAGGACCTTTAAGGAAACTAGGTCCCACTGATTAGCTGCCAAAAGACTTCACAACTTATATTGTTTGAAATATTGCTGCTTTTATCCCCAGAGTTTATGAGTTTTAAGACATTACCCTAATTTTATGTGAGAAGAAGATTGCAAGGTTGCATTGTTCTGACTTTGTAATGACAATAAAGTTGAACATAATCCAAAAATAATGACACTAAATATAGAATTCCTCAATACATTTCATATATATACATATCAATATTATTACTATATATGTTGTTCCTAAATGTGCTCAAACTACTACAATAGAGATGTATCTGAAAAGTCCAAAATGGTCACTGTGACTATTGTCATATTAGTAAGAATAGTGAGAAACAATTAAATCAAACAAAATTAATTACATTCTGGATCTAGTTTTTCGTCTTTCTACTGTTTTTCAAAAATTGTGCGGTTGAACTTGAATCGTTTGAAATTCAATTGTAATATGTGTATCACTGCCATCCTGTTCACAATTTAAATTAATGGAAAAAAAAGTGCATATACATTGTTGCCTTTTTTCTGTATGTTTTTTTTAAGCACCACTTAATTCAGGCTTTCATCAAAACGTATAAAATAGAAAAAAAAAAAAAAAAAAAACATGCACATTTCTTCAAGAAGAAAAACAGCGATATACTTCAAATAAAGACAGCACCTGAAAGAGCTGGATATGACTTGAGTTCTTCGTCCTTTTGGCCAGTGAACATGCAGCCACAGTCGCTCTCTCACTCCTGTATCCATCACTGAGCCTCTTTTCTTCAGATAGGGCAGTTTCAAAGTAACAATACCTACGCATTCAGACAGCATTCAACCATTTCAGTTTTTGACAGCGTATGGTCAAAGTATTCATTTGTCTGTGGCGTTTACTTTTGCCTCTGTCGGTGCTCCATATCCTCAGAGTCTGGTCTCTACTTCCTGAAGCCAACAGACAGCCCTCTCCCAAAACACCGCCCGTGTCATCAGCTGTAAACATAAAGTCATTATTATAGTAAGTAGAAGTTGTAGTAGCAGCAGCAAAGTACAACAAACAAATAAAATGTTAGCTTTTATGTCAACTTTAGATACAGCTTTAAACACGTTTTTTGATATTGACTGAATAACCTTCCTTTAACTGTGCATTTTATTCTAATTGACCTGTGTAAAATCCTACCATATGTCCAAAAGGGTGAACTTTCTGATTTAGGTGGTTTCTTTACCTTCAGAGTCCTCTGTTGGACCATCGAGGATGCCTTCTCCCGGCTCTGGGCTCCAGCACAGAGATTGGATCTCGTTGTCGTGGCCTCTTAGACGATGCAAAACTTCACCTTTTTTACTCACGTCAATCAGCACGATCATCCCATCTTTATACCTATAACACATTTAAAAAAAAAAATCAGCTTCTGTTCTTTTTTTGCTCAATATTATGGAACTCAAAAAACTGGGCGATCAAGCATTAAAAAAATAAAATAAAACAGTTTGATTTCATTCTTTTGGTAAGTGTGAATCATTTGGAAAAGTTAAAACCAGATTCAGATGAAGACAAAAGAGGCAATCTTATAAAATGCACCAAACATGTAAGTTTATAAGGATGTACCCAAATTGCTACCCTAACCCTCCCCACACAGTAAACATTATCTCATATCCTCTAAAGTACTTTTGTTTCAATTCATATGACATCACACTTTCAAAAGTTGCCTTTTCCGCAGGATATAGTTTTTAAAAAGAGTGTATATCAAAAGAGTGATTTCAAAAATACCCGATGGCCACATGACTCCAGATGTGAGGGGAGCAGCTGAGGCAAAAGATGGTCCGAGGTTCAGGGAAGAAGCTGGAGGTGTCCCCTGTGTGGAACCAGTGACACACGACCACTCCCTTTTCATCTCCAGAAACAACTAGGTTTTTGTCCACAGGAGACCAGTGCACTGCAGACACTGGATTCTGAACAAAGAAAGTAGTAGTATAGTAGGGATAGGGGATTTAAAAAACTACTCTTCTTATGAAAAAAACAGACATTACTGTTGATAGAATTTAAGATTAGACAATAGTTAGAAACAAAAGAGATGTAAAACAATTTACCATGACACAGAGAAATATTGAAATTTGTACAGGAAAACATTAAAAAGACTGGCTTTATACATGGCTATGCTTAATAAGGCCTAGATTACCAGAATACCAGTGGTAGTTTTTCTTTCCTCACTGTTTTGAAGTGCCTCAGACATTCTCTGTCTTTTAATATTAATTCCTGTTACAGAAAAGCACTTGTAAAATGTAACTTACTAATTATAGTTTTGCAAACGAGTCCATAATCTTTCCCCTTACCCTGTACATTCTATACAATCATGATTTTCTTTAAACATCTCTGCCTTCCAACTTCACCAACGTCCTCCCAAAAACATAATTCATTACATGTATATTATATTTGTTTAAACGTTATGCGTCTGACCTGATGCCCAGAAGATTCTTTCAGAAACTTTTTTGTTTCCGAGTCCCAGAATCTGACGCTGCCATCGCAGGATGAACTGACACAAATGTGGCTCTGTCCCAAGTGTTGACAGAAGCTGAAACTGGTCACCAGATCTTTGTGTCCCACCAGCTCTCCTTCAAAGAAAGTGAAAAAATATGAAATTTCTATAACACACTGGCATTGGCAAATCCCTAGCGTAATGCATCATGTCTTGTTTGATCAGTTCTTCTTGTATTTCTTTTTTTTTCCTTCTTCAAATGATTGTCTATTTGCTACTTTACTTAAATTGATGAGAAGAATTAGACTAATTGACAATACCCCAATTCAATTAAATGTTCATATTCTAATTCACAAAATTAGAGCTTGAAGACAGAAACCACATACTAGTTTATCCTTCTATTGTTGTCTGGCCTCTGTGAATATCAAAGGGAGGCAACATATGCATTTAAACCTGTTCTGGTGAAATGCAAGTGATTCCTTGGGCTTAGACACAAACTATTGATTTGTATAATTATGTATATATAACGGGGTTTGTGTCCCACCGCACCAGGACAGACGTAACCCGTCATTACTTTACATTAGATCTAACACAGTGTTCTAATTATATGCCACCCATACAGTCTATGGTCCTACCTGTGACTCTGCAGCTGGAGGCGGACACTTGGACCAGATAAATTGTGCATTTGGCTCCAAACCCAAACAGACCGCTTGTACTGACGTCACTGCACCGGGAGCAGTACCAGTTCGGAGCAGCGGGCAGACAGCGTGCGTGCATCTCGAGTTTTACGGAGGAAAAGAAACTATACGATAAATTAACTGATCATCTCACATGTCGTAGGAAGCACATTACTGCCGTACAAAGACTCTTTTCTGTCGTAAATCTACCGGTGCTGTACGGTGTCTGAAGCAGACCAAAATATATTATAAAAAAGTAAATATAGGTTCTTAAACCAAAATATAATTAATTGAAGACTTAATTTCGCATGTTTAATATTAATCTATTATCTATGTGCATTATTTTACTTTAGACATGGTTTTACATTTGGAAATGCAAATACCGTAAACTGTTGTTTTGTTGTCGTAAAATTCAAGATGGCGGCCTCGGTGACAGGACGCGGTGAGAAAACTGCATGGAAAACCGCGACATGTTTTAAAATAAAGGTGTGACAAATGACATATGTTTTACGTGCCAATGTCATTTTCAGGTCTAGCGTTTATTAGGACATTATCGAGCCAGATACCTTTGCGGTAAGTACATTGTTATTCGAATAATATGTTCTAGTTTTGGATGCACTGGCTTCGTTAGCATCGACATTAGCATCTCGAAGGACACACTGCCGTCAAAACTGTAGAAGCAAAACAGGTGTAATGGAAAGTTTCAGTTAATCACTTCTGGGTTGAACTGAAAAATTAAAACAACGGAATGGGTGCAATCAGATGTTTGGCAGAACTGCTTTCCATGTAGCCCCAAAGTCTTATTAAAATGTATCTAATTTAATGGAGCGATGTGACCATATTTCAAACTTAATGTTCCTTTCAATTGTCTCCCTTCAAGATCCACCACAGTTGCTGTTTGAAGCTACAAAGAAGCAGCAGTGTCTGAAGTTTAGAATTGGGAGTATTTCAATGGAATAGTTATAGAAAGGCTTTGCATCATTGTTTATAATTCAATGATATATGCTCATTAAACACCGTTTTACATTCCATATACATTTGATTTGACCAAAGTTGGTCAATTGCAGAGGTAACGTGATAGATTAAGATTAAGAGATCCTTTGTTTGCCCCACTGTGGGGAGGTTTCAGTGTTGCATCACAAGTTAAAGAGTGCAAGAATCAGTTTTAACTACTGTAAGAATTGTTATGAAGTAATGTTTCAAAACACACTTTAAAATCCTTCCACTTAATAAGCACTTGTCTTGAGCAGTGTGTTCTAGCGTTTCATCTTTAGCCACTAGGTCTAAGCGCCAGCAAAAATACTTATCCTGTACTTAATAAACGAGAGATATAACTCTAATTGTCTGTTATTTATCATTGAGTGGTTGACTTTGTTTCATTTAGAGAAATGTACAATGTACCTACCTGATCATGTGCAGCTGTTTTATTTTGGGCGTTAGACTACATCTAAATGTATGTAATATTATATCTTCATAATAGGGCAAATGTCCTTAAATTATAGCATGGAACAGGAAGATGGAACTCCAGAATAATTAAATACTCATGTGTATTAAATATGTTTCTTGTTTTATTTCACAATGGTGGTCAGGTTGCCATGGGTGACAACTCCGCAGCAGTTATCATGTTTTCACACCAGTGTCTCTATGGAGGGTCGGAGATGGGAAAACACAAACAAAATAGTACATCCTCCACAGCTGCCAGACGAACCGCGTAGACCAGCTGTATGTTCCTGTCCACTTGTCAAATGCTCGTTAAAACACTGGAAAATGTTTAATGTAACATGTCTCATCCAGGAAATCTACCACAGCAAAAGGCAGTTTAAATACAGCAAAGACAAGTTGTGGTATTTAGCAAAACTGGTGAGTGCATTATAATATGTCCATTTGAGAAGCCTCAATATGTTTATTTATTTACTTTGGATTTCTTTTTTATATATACCCAGGTCAAAGGATTGAGCATCGATCAAGCAATTGCCCAACTCGAGTTTAGTGACAAGAAGGGAGCCAAGTTCATGAAAGATGTATGACAAATTTTAGACTTGTACATTAGATTTTAAAGAATAATCCAAAATATTGTTATTTTTCTCATTTCTAGACTCTGCTTGAAGCTCAGGAGATGGCTGTGAGAAGCCACAATGTAGAGTACAAGTCCAACCTCTATGTCGGTGAGTTTTGGTTTCTTTGAAAGGATGGTGGAGGTTATTCTTAAAAAGTAAAATGGGTCAAACTTATTTTTTGAGGCGCACTGGTTGAAATTCAGTACATTAGACCGATTATCACAGTCATTGCAAGTAGAATACATAAAGAGGGTAAACCAGATTCATTCCAGGTTGAAGCTGGAGTGATGTTCTTATCAAAATGTGTTGTTTGAGGAATGAATGCATGTGTCAAAACATACTCTCAGCAGACCCCAGATGAAATCAAGATATTGCGTTTACTTGGACACAGAGAAAACTGGGGTGTGTATATATAAACAACAACAAAAACATCATACCTGATTACCGTTCTATTATCAATAAATGCAATTAATGTTTATAATATTCAAAAAAATATGGGTGTTAATTTTTACTTCAACATTTTTTTCCACTTTTCAATTTTCTGCATCAGTGAAACATTTTTTGTTCCATATTGGTGCCCCTCTAGCCTGGCCACAGCCATCCGTACACTCCGTTCAATCATCATTTCACTGCATGTAGCGTCTGGGTCTGGTGTTAGCGATTACAATCGGTCGTATTTCGACCGGCTACTCAGAGAGCGCGTTGTAGGTCGGTGCCGGTGACGTCAAGAGTTTGCGCCGAACGGGCAGCTTGTAGTTTGGCAATGGCGAAGAATGCGTTAGTAAAGTAATCCGGTCTGGTTCTATCAAGAAATTGAAGCAGGAGCAAGAGGAATGTTTAGCAAATGTAATCGCTGGTCAAGATTGTGGCGCTACTCCCCACGGGCTCTGTTAGCAGCGAAGGCTAAATGCTAATGCTAACAACAGACTCGGCGCACTACATACGTCACGGTAAACTCAGATCCAATCGTTTCAATCTGCAAAAGGAGTTAACCCCTCCCACCTGTTAACAGAGCTCAATGGAGCAAATCCAGACCTTCGTATGAAATGAAATTTGTACTAAGGTGTGGTACAACCAGGCTAGTGCCCCTCTCTTTATCTCTGTGGAAAAGGTTGTAACAATTATATACAAAAAATATATTCTACCATTGCTTAAACATGAAATATTTGTTTATTATTTTTTTCAATTTTCCTTTTGCATTTCTCCTTCTCATTTTGCAGCCGAATCCTTCTCTGGTAAAGGTAAATATCTGAAGAGGATTCGATATCACGGGAGAGGCATGTTCGGCATCATGGACAAAGTTTACTGTCATTATTTTGTCAAACTCGTGGAAGGTCCTCCGCCCAAAAAGATAGAAAAGACCAGTTTTGATGCTGCAAAAGAATATGTGCAGGAACTAAAGAATCGAACCATCATCCACAGTTTATAATATACAAACTATTGTCTTCTGTTTCCTTTCCAATGTATGTTTGTGACTGTAAATAAAGGTTATTAATCAAACTAATATTTGTTTCCTTGATTACTTTTTCATTGGCCAGATTCATTTTTTATATATATATATATCAGATTACAAGTTCACTAGCTAAATCTGTGATGACAAATATACAATTTTAGAGTCAACGTTATGTGATGTTTTTCGTACATATTAATTTTTGAGTGATTTGATTTTGAAAATATGGTCCAGGTTTACGAGTAATATTTCAATTGCCAGAGAAGCTAAAGCTGGTTTACAGAAAACTAAAAGAGGACCATCTTCCATCAGCCAATCAGCTCTCACCCCAACAATAGTGATAAGTATGCAGAATTAAAATTATATATATTAGATTAATTTATAAATATGACCAATGTCAGTGAAATTGTTTTCATACCAACAACAATGCGAGATATTAGATCATTGAAACAAGAAGGAAAATTTGAAAGATTAAAAATATTGCTTGATCCAAGCAGTTATTTTGATTACATCTATGTTGCCTTAAAAAAATGATTATTTTAAGAGCTGTTGCCCTTTTTCCTCTGAAGTAGTTTTATTTTTGATAGTCTTTCCATGCTCCATGTTTGCTGCTTTTGCAAACCATAGAAGAGAATATGAAGGCAGTGGCTAAAGTGAATTTCCTTTGTCTTAAGTGCGTGTGAAGAGGCTGAAGGTGGCTGTGTCCTGCTCTGATCCTAACCTCTCAGTGGTGACCCCGTGATTGTGTTCAGAGTTAATGACTTCAGCCCAGAGGCTCCTCCACTACAAAGTGTGTCTGATGTTTCTATTTGTTTCCCAATCTGCGGCTCCAGAGACTCCACACTGATCTCTGGGTCATATGGGGCAAGAATTGTTTGTATTTTGAAGATTTAAATTAATTAGCAATAGTTACATCTGACAGATGGTGTGTTAAATTGCAACAAATAAATAGCAAAAAACAATACTTCCTAAATGCATTTTTGTTTTTTAAAGTGGTAGGAAAGGGATACTGCTACACTTTAAAACAATCTTTAGTCAAATTAAACTCAAATCATAAATGTAGTCACTTGGTGTTTACAACTTCCAATGGAACCATAATGTCTTATTATTTCAACAACTGTGATATGCACTGGCTTTGAAGGGCATGTAGCATCAAAAATCACCCAGATCAGTAGAACTAGATTACTTTCTCCTTTTCCCCGACATTTCCTCATCCTCCGTCAGTGCGCAGTCCCCATGGAGCCGAGCCACAGATTGAGAAACAAATGGAAAATCAGACGCACTTTACTGTGGAAGAGCTTCAGGGCCGAAGTCAATTACTTTGAACACAAACACACGAGGTCCCAGATGCTCCCACTGCCCTTGAAAAACAAAACCCTTGTCAAACTGTTCGCAGGGAAAAGATTGAGTCGTAGTTCATCAGCAAGAATTATTTTTAAAGAATAATTTTGGAAATTCATAGTTGAGGTTCGTATCTGAAATGTTACACCAATGTTGCACAATGGTCTTTGCCTGTTTCCTGCAAATGTAAATATTTATTATTTTTGTATATTATAATGCATACTGGAGACAAAGTAACAAGAACCATTTAAAACAACCTTACCATCTATAGACCGTACATATAAAATTAAAGAAAAAAACAAAAAGTGGGAAAAAAACAATGATAAAACATAGCCTATATAATTCTGCAGTTAATTTTCGACCATAGTAATGTCTAAAATACGTGCACATCTCTGTCTCCTCATTGAGAATCCGTTCATTCGGACCATTGCCGTTACCAAAGCTAGTTACAAGTAAAATGCATGTGCTTTTTAATGAGAATCTTAAATGCTGGTTTGTATAAATGTGCAAAAGGGATAACATGACAAATCTCTCCAGCAGGTGTCACTGTTGCACTGTGGGTAGTTCCTATTGCGATTCTCTCTCTTCTCAACTTGAGCGACATCTCCTCGTGGCGCCACCTGCATGTGAAATCCTGGTCCTGTTAGATCTCAGAAGCTACAGTAAGTGGGGCAAGTCCTAGGCAGTGCATTGATGAGAGACCTCTGTAACCTAAGGGATGTCATGTGGGCGGCTGAGTGGATAGCACTCTCGCCTCTCAGCAAGAAGGGCCTTTCTGAGTGGAGTTTGCATGTTCTCTCTGTGTCTGCGTAGGTTTCCCCTGGGTGCTCTGGTTTCCCCTACCACTAAAAACATGTGCAATAGGTCTGGCATGCGCCTCCTGTACTGGCGACCCTGCTCCCATCTCTGTGTGGAGTGAGAGGATAAATGCCCCAACAATTGTAAACCGCTTTGTGACTCTAGTCTGTGAGCGGTGGTATAAAAATAAAGATTACTTACTTATTTATATGTGGTTGTGCCTTGGCTAAATTGTTTCACTTTAGTCCTTCCATCTCTGTGAGGTTGTGTCTTCATTCAGATCCACTAACAAAAGCTCATCACAGACTGAACACATCCTGCTCAACATTGGTGAGTGGTTTTACACAAATAAAGAATAATACATTATATGTTACTGAATATGAAGAAAACGAAAATATTTAAGTGTGCAATAGGTTTTTTTTTTTCAATATAGAGGAAAAATGCTAGATTGGTGACAGCCAGTTGATGTTGGGGGTGAAAATGTTATAATGTCTTTGCAATCAGCAAAACGAGGGACATTGTTTATGTTGCACAAATGTAAAGGGAATATACATAAGCTAGAACAAATATATTTACACTTTAATTTCATTTTATGTTCCCAGGACTACCTCAACAGAATCCCTGGATTTCTCCCAAGGACAAATAAATAATGGTCCATGTCTCACTGACTGCAGGAGGACATGGACGACTGGACTCGCTCCTTCACTGCCTCCAACAGATCAGTGAGTGGATGCAAAATAACTTCCTTCAGCTAAACGCAGACAAAACTGAAATGATTGTCTTTGGTCCGCAGAAACAAAGAGAGCGTCATTTGTCAGCTTCAGTCTCTCTCCCAAAGGCCTTTAGAGAAGATCAGAAAGCTATGGGGTAACAATGGACTCTAGCTTATACTGTATTTCAATAACCACATATAATCGGTAACATCAACAGCTTTTTAAACATGGGAAGGCTGCATTTAAGATATATGTAGCTATAAACTGGAACATATTTTCTTCCTGAAAATATGAGAGAGGCATCTACTCTGACAATGTTCAAATCCAGGTTAAGTATTGTTGGTTCCTTTTGCCTGTGCAAAAAACTGAAGGATTTTTATTTATTTTGAATGCACTGTGGTAACTTATTTTTAATTAATTGTGAGATTGTTTAATTGTGTTTTAAAAAGTGATTCTGGTCTTTTTTTATGTGATGATTTATGCCTTATGTGATGTGGTCTGTGAAGCGCTTTGTGTTTTGTATGACAGGCGCTCTCAGAATAAAGAATGATTCATTGATTGATGAAATAGTTCTAAATGCAATCAAATCTGTAAAACTGCCAGTTTGCCTGATCCTCTGATAGAGAAAGAACATGTCCTCAAAGGAGACACATTTAGCATGAATGACATACTTTAATAAGCGAATTTCATTGTTTCTCTAAGTTCCATTTTGATATATTATTTGAGCAATCCCGTATTAGTCTATATTACTCAAATGATGGAGGAAGAGGAGGCGCGGACTCTGAGCTACACTTTTGTTGTCTATTTAAATTAAACTGTGTAGACAGTGGACATACATTTCAGAATAGATCAGTAAATAATGTTGCATCACAGGTACAGTTAGCATTAGCTTTGTCTGAAAAATAAAACTAAATAAACTCTGACTGCCAACCCCCGACCCAGAAATGGATTAAGGGGAAGAAAATGGATGGATTGATGGATAGCTTAATAAAGTAGCAAAGAATAAAAAATATTGTAAACTTTGAGGTAGTGAGAGAAAGAATAATGAGGTAGTGAGTTATCTGAGGTTCAAATATTCACAGTGATGATGAACCTACTGAAAATGTGCACCGTTGCAACACATGTCAGGTCGGCAGTGTTCTTTAGTCTTCATACAGTCTGACACCAGCAGGAAGGAATGACCTGCGAAAACGCTTAGTGAGGGTGTCTTAACCATCTATGACAGCCTATGTAGGCCATGTGCTAATTTGACTTTAGTTCCAGGATTGTCGTGTGACGCACACAAAATGTGCAGTCACATTTTATGGTGTTTTAGTTTAAGATATCCTTTATCTTAACTCAAAATTAGCTCCTTTATTAGTGTAATAATGTGTTTTTGTTTGTTTAGAAGTAATTTTCACATTTGCGGGTGCGCCACCAGGGGGCAGTGTTGTGAGTAGTAGCGGGACTTTCCACCAGGGCCCATCTTGGAGAGTCTTTGGTCCGCTCCATTTTGTAACATGAAGCGAGGCTGCACTGAACGGATGCTCACGCTGTCGTCTCTTTCATTTGTCCTGTTTATTCAGGTAATATAATGTAAAACACATTGAAAAGTACATACAAGATGACTGTATATTGTTTTGGTAGTAGATTGCCATTTTGTCAGTGTGTGTTTAGAGGTTTACACCACGTTAGACCACTGTTTTAGAGTTTAGCAGTTCACTAGGAGGGAACATGTGGTTTTGTAATGGCGGCGCCACCCTTGTAACATGGACTCGTGCGCATGGGCGTCGGACTGGGGGGGTAAAGGGTACCGAGTACCCAGGGCCCAAGGCGGGGAGGGGCCCTCTAAAGTGTGCCTTTATATTTATATGTATTAGGCATTATGGTATATTCATATTATTACAATTTGAATGAAAGGGGCCCTGTATACAAATAACCAACGTTTTAACCTCAGTTTTCCTCTAAAAACAAATTTGTATGCTATATCAGGGCCCTGCCACCCCCTTACAAAAGATCAAATGGTACGACCCACATGTGCGCTTGTTGCTGTCGTTGCAGCGAGTTGACTTCTTTGACAAGCAGCGGCAGAAGCGGGAAAAATAGAAATGTCTTTTCCAAAGAAAGGAAAATCAGGATTTCAGAAAAGAAAAGAGAGACAGGACAGGGAGAAAAAGTGTAATGAGGGCAAGCAATTGCTTACTCAGTTCTTCCACATGAGAGGTGAGTATATATAGAGACGTGTTAAGGCCACATCAGGAGAAAACCCAGAGACATTTGTTTCTGTATTCTAAACTCACGGAGAGCTAACAGTGTGCTGTGTACGTGGTAAAAAAAAAACGTTATCCAGAGTGACACACACAGACGCGCAGCTGTAAAGGGAGCTCACACACACTGCTGTCCACTTCTCCTTCAAAGGCAGGCAGCAAAGAGTTATTTTCATGTACAACCCTGTACCCTATATTCCCACTATTGTCATAATCTGTCCGTCCGTGAGTCTTGCAGTCATAAGTCACGGGTCACTCACTGGCCTCTGCATTGGATCATCTGGTTATAACCATACAAATCACACGCCCCCGCACCGATTTGGAGGTTTCTGGTGACATCTAGTGGTCAAAATAATGTAAATAAGTCTAATGGTCTAAAGGGTGAAATGAGACTTTCTGGTGTGTAAACTATTGCTTTTAAGCCAGAAATGACAACTGACAATCACAGCCCAGACCATGCCCAACTGTAAGCCCCCCTTCTTCTCCACTGGTGCCATTTTTACAGACAAATTTCAAATGTTCATGTGGGCGGAGTAAGGCTAGGCACAGGTGTTTAGTTGAAAATGGAATAGGCTTATTTAAAAAAAGATTGCATCGATTGAATTTTCACAAAGTCTAAATTGGTGGATAATAATGAACCATAAAAAGTATTTTGTTGTATGTTTGTACAATAACAAATAAGTAACTTACCTACTCATGGTCCATACAAATAAGATAAGATATACTATATTTTTATATGAATAGCCATATACACATATCACATAAAGGCATGCAGGCATATACGTAATAGCTATACACTGTAATGATGGAATATAGTATCTGTTTGCAACCCATTAAAGCTACTTTATTTCAGTTTCAGGAAGAGAAGCATCATGGCCAGATGAAGGCACTAGTAGTGAGGGTTTGACAGTGAGGCATGGTGAGCATGTATCAGTCACTGATTGAACTGTTTTCAATAAGTTAGTAAGTTATTACTTTATAGGTTTTACTGTATACACTAATTCTATATCATTTTTGTCTGTATTGTGTCCATGTAGCAGAGCAGAATTAGAAGAGGATGTAGAAACTGAATTAAGTGATGAAAGGGAAAGCGAAAGTGATGAGAATGTGGAGAGGATTGAGGAGGAAAGAGACGACACCAAGAGACAGAGTAATAATGATGAGGGATTGTCAGAGGACCCAGGATTATGGCCAGAGAATCTCACCGATAAACAAAGGAAAAGAATTGTTCATCTACTAGCCAGTGATGGTGGTTCAAAAACAGGCAATACCATACCCAAAGATATGGAGGGCAAACCATTCCCAAATTATCTCCAGTATGCAAAGTCCACTAATGGCCATCAACAATATTGATGATAATAAAACCAAAGGACATGAATCAGAACTGTATTAACTAATTAAATTTATATATATATATATATATATATATATAAGAAACGTGTAGTGGGGGCCCATTGAGACTGTTTGTACCCGGGGCCCTGAATTTGGTGCTACCCCCCTGCTCGTGCGTAGTAAACATGTAGTAACTTTTGAGACTTTGTTTATGCTCAGGAACCGTTTTTCTAGTTTGTTTATTGTGTGTAAAGTTTATTAAGAAAATGTGAAATATGTTTTAGAGCAGACCAGACTTACAACCATATATTAGATCCGTTTAGCTAGTTTTTCAAGTAACATAATGGACTTGGTTATTGTATAAATGTATACAGAAGAACATATTTTAGTTAATATGCAATATTGGTATGTAGTTAAATGTGCGTAAGATAAGTGACCACATTGTAAGAGACCAGATATTGAAGTAACATGATTTTAGAATTGGAATAAATTAGATTAGAGACATAATTGATAGATAGTACACAAATTGAACATGTAAATTGTAATTGAATATTTTTGTTATTAAATAACATGAAGCGAGGCTGCACTGAACGGATGCTCACGCTGTCGTCTCTTTCATTTGTCCTGTTTATTCAGGAGTATTCTTCTGTGCGGGTCTGCACCCTAGACCGGACCTGTAACAGAAACTTGGGGGCTCGTCCGGGATCGATGACATCATCAGCCATCGGAGGTCGTCGATCCAGTCCTGAACACGTGGACCAGCGCCTACATCCATGTGTTAATTAACTAAAGGAAAAGGGTCAACGCCGGAGCAGCAGGACCAAGGCCTTAAGTTATCAGCAACAATGGAGAACGGCGAACGCAAGAAGCTGGTGTGGGCCGTGAAAAAGGAACTGTTTCACCTCTCAAATGATGACTTATCAAAACTAATAAACGAAATACTTCAGACCGGAGACGGGGATCCAGGTCAAGTAGATTGCTCAGATGAGGAGAGTTGTATTGACTTTGTAGTCAGTTACATGAACAGCAGAAGCTTGCTGGAGTTAGAAGATGAGGGCGTGTCTATGTTATTATACCTTAAGGACAAGATTGAGGAGATTAAAGGGAGTCACTGCATAGTTGTAGAGGCGGCTGATGAATCCCCTAATCCTACCCCAGCAGTTACGGGCGCTCCACTAACTGACAGTGCACAAGGTGATAGCAACCAGACCCCTCAAAGTGACTGCATTGAATCACAGTTGGCCAAGCTTCTCTCTGGTTATGAATCGCTAACTAAAAAGTTAAACATGAGTGACACATCTCCAGTCCAAGTCACTGTAGGTGAAGATAGCCAGTCTCAGACCAAGTTCTCCCCTCACCGCTCCGAAAGCCTGATAGCTCTTAAAGATCTGCCACTACTACAGAGGAGAGAGTTTAAGATCCAGGGTGGGCAGATAGGTGATAATGCTTCTGACATAAGCTACAGCAGCATTAGCAAGCAAATGGACAGAGGAGTGAAAGAAAATCACATCGAAAATGAAGTGGTTCAAGCCGTCCTCCGTATCATCAAGCCAGGCATTTTCAAAGAAATGCTCACCAGCAAAGAGGAGATGTCTGTCGCCGAGTTGAAAAGCTTTTTACAGTCACATCTGGGAGAGAAAAGCACAACTGAACTGTTCCAAGGACTCATAACCGCAAAACAAAACGAACATGAAACCCCACAACAGTTTCTCTACCGTATGATGGGACTGAAGCAGAAGTTGATATTCATATCAAAACAGTCAGATTGTGATATCAGATATGAACCTCAAACAATCCAAAATGTGTTCTTGCACACCATATATCAAGGTTTAAATGAGAGACATGAGGACATTAGACGAGAGCTAAAGCATTTCCTTTCTGATTCAACAGTGACTGATGATTTGCTCTTAAAACAAATGACAAAAACTACAAACGAGGAGAGTGAACGCAAACGACGTTTAGGCCGTGTCACCCGTCCCAAGACCGCTTCCGCACTCAGTAGTGATGTTGAGCCCAGTGTGAAGGTGAAACCCAGTCCTGAGTCAAATGCCAAAGATGAACTAATTCGACAACTCAGTGCCCAAGTCCAAACACTGACAGATGCAATTGGTTCTTTCCAAACCAGACCCAAAGAGCCATATAAACCAAATCAGAGTACATCAGGTTCACAAGGCTCATGTCGCTGCCCCAATTCACCTCGCAGGCAACAAAAGAGCAAGTTTGGTTGTCCTGATTGTGTTGCTCACCGCAGGACCAACTGCAACCACTGTTTTAAATGTGGCGAGGAAGGACACCGTGCACTAGGTTGTTTGAAAAGCAACAGAGATTACAAATCAAGGGCGCAGCAACACTCACCAACAGAACTCAATGGAAGCGACCCTCACTCCACTAGCGATGCGGCCTGTCACTCCGCTGATGTCATGTCTGCATCACAAAGAGTAGCAAAGATCTTAGGACAAAAATGTCTCCTAAAGTGCAATCTAAATGGCTATGCTCTCTCTGTGCTCATGGACACCGGTGCACAGGTCAGCATTGTTGATCGAGTTTGGAGAAAGACTTTTGCCCCACAACAAAAGATTCGTCCACTCAGCGAGTTACTAGGAGACAAGCCGCTCCATGTGAAAGCAGTAAATGGTGAGTCCGTCCCCTATGATGGATGGATCGAACTGTTGTTTAACTTGCCTGACAATGACAATCCAGATCTCACTATCAGAGTCCCATTCCTGGTCAGTACTGTCTGTATTCCCCGTCCAATATTGGGATTCAACGTCATTCAAGAACAGACACTAGTGAGACAAATGCTGTATGAAGAATCAAATGCATTTGCCCGAGATGAACATGACATTGGGTGCATTCCTAGTCTTCAAATGAACATAACACTGAAAGATGACACTCCCGTACAGAGAACGTACTCTGCCATTCCCAAACCACTATTCAGGGAGGTTAAAGAATACATCCAAGATCTTCTGGCTAAACAGTGGATAGTCAAGTCTAAGTCTCCTTATGCATCTCCAGTGGTGTGCGTGCGTAAGAAAGACGGCACCCTCCGTCTTTGCATCGACTATAGACTCCTGAATCAAAAGACAGTCCCTGACAGACACCCCCTGCCCCGCATTCAAGATCTCATCGACACACTGGGGGGATATAGCTGGTTCTCGATTTTAGATCAGGGGAAAGCCTACCATCAGGGCTATGTGGCAGAGGGATCACGGCACATGACAGCATTCATCACCCCATGGGGATTGTACAAGTGGGTCCGCATCCCTTTTGGGCTGTCCAACGCGCCCGCCACTTTTCAGAGGAGCATGGAGGAGATGCTGAGTTCATTGAGGGATGAATGTTGCATCCCATATTTGGATGATATTCTCTGCTACGCTAAGACATTTGAGGAACATGTAGAGGGACTCAGACGTGTCCTGAGAGCACTCCAGGAACATGGCGTGAAACTTAGGCCGACCAAATGTGAACTTTTTAAGGCTGAGGTCCGCTATGTGGGGCGTCTCGTCTCTGCTGATGGCGTCCGTATTGACCCGAAAGACTTGGAGGCCATTGAAGCTCTCAGAGACAAATGTCCAAGCACTGTTGGTGAGGTTCGTAAACTACTTGGTTTTCTTAGCTACTACCGCACATATATTCAAGATTTTTCAAAGATTGCCAGGCCAATGTATGAACTGTTAGTAGCTAAAGGCCCTGATTGTACCACTACACCTCACCAGTCAAAGAAAACATCAAAGTCAAAGCGTATGCAGATGCCGTCAAAGACACCCATCCGCTGGACTGAAGAACACCAAAGGGCGCTGCACCAGCTCATCGCCACCCTCTCCAGTCCACCTGTACTCGCCTACCCCGACTTCAACCTCCCCTTCGTGCTGCACACTGACGCCTCGGAGCGGGGGCTTGGCGCCGTCCTTTATCAGCGCCAAGGTGGTAAGCTACGGGTCATCGCCTACGGGTCAAGAACATTAACACCTACTGAACGAAATTATCACCTCCATTCAAGTAAATTAGAATTTCTGGCTTTAAAGTGGGCCGTCAGTGAGAAATTTCGAGACTATCTTTACTATGCACCACATTTTACAGTCTACACGGACAATAATCCGTTAACCTACGTGATGAGCACAGCAAAGCTTAACGCCGTTGGCCATCGCTGGGTTGGTGAGCTTGCCGATTTCCGATTTGAGATCAAATATAGGCCAGGAAGAGTCAATGTAGATGCAGACACACTATCAAGACTGCCATTAGACATAGCCAGCTATGTAGACACGTGCACCAAAGAACTGTCTAGAGACACTATCCAGAGCATTTGGGAGGGCTGTCATGCTGCAGAGTCAAAGGACGTTGCTTATATAGCAGCCATGGACATTGCTCAGAACGACCAGACACGTGACTTGTTGCCAGCCATTAGCCATGCTGAGATGGTAAAAGCCCAGCAAAATGACTCTGTTATAGGCCAGGTTGTCAAACTCAAAGAGACTGTTCAAATGCTGACTACTGACATTAGAACTAGTGTTAGTGGTCCGGCCAGAAAACTGCTTTATGAGTGGGACAGATTGTATCTCCAAGACAGTTTGCTCTTCAGAAAAACAAATCTGAGGCAACAACTTGTCCTTCCAAAACTATACCATGAGACAGCGTTGAAGCTTCTGCATAACGACATGAGTCATGTGGGCACTGAAAAGACAATGACTTTAATCAGGGACCGCTTTTATTGGCCCTACATGAAAAGAGATGTAGAGACATACGTTACAAGAAAATGCCCCTGCATTAAGAGCAAAAAGCCAGTGTCACACATAAGAGCACCCATGGGGAGCATCACCACAAGTCAGCCACTAGAGCTTGTCTCCATTGACTATTTACATTTAGAACCTAGTAAAGGCGGTTATCAGTATATCCTTGTAGCTGTTGACCACTTCACCAGGTACGCTCAGGCTTATGCTACTAAAAACAAATCCGGAAAGACAGCCGCAGAGAGACTTTTTGAAGATTTCATCCCTAAGTTTGGCTATCCGCACAAGCTGCATCATGACCAGGGGAGAGAATTTGAAAATGACCTCTTTAAAACCCTACAGCATTTGAGTAAAGTTGGACATTCACGTACAACTCCCTATCACCCCCAGAGTAATCCAGCAGAGAGATTTAACCGTATACTTCTTCAGATGCTGAGGACCCTAGGAGAGAAAGAGAAGGAGAGATGGAGAGATCATCTGGCGCACGCAGTACATGCCTATAACTGCACTAGACACGAGGCCACAGGTATGTCTCCATTCTACTTAATGTTTGGCAGGCAACCCAGACTGCCTGTGGACCTCATCTTCAATCTCAACCCTGACCAAGATCCCACCACTCCTAGAGGTTATGCAGAGAAGTGGGCAGCAAGGATGAAGGAGGCCTACAGGATTGCCTCCGAGAATAGCCAGCAATCAAGTGCAAAAGGAAAGAAATCCTATGACAGACACACCAGAGGGACTGTCCTTGAACCAGGTGACCGAGTGTTAATTCGCAACTTGGGAGAGAGAGGAGGACCGGGTAAATTGAGATCATACTGGGAGAATAAAATCTATGTAGTGAAGGACAGAATGGCAGATGGTCCGGTTTACAAGGTGACGCCTGAGAATGGAAGCAATAAGGTCAGAACACTCCATCGCAATCTCCTTCTTTTAGTCAATGATTTGCCTGTAGAACTACCTCCCAGTGTCTCACCTGTGAAACTCAGACAGTCCTGTCAAACAAGAAACAAGAGACAATCACAACAGGAGCAGAGACTCAGTGACATTCGAAGTAACTCATCCTCAGACTCAGAAGATGAACCAGCTCACTACTGGCTGAGGATTCCCCAACATGTCACAAGGGCTCCACCTGTTGGGCCACAAGGAGAAAATACTCGAGTACAAGTACAGTCCAGACCATTAATTGCTGTAAAAGATTTAAGACAAACAGAGCATAACCAGACTATCCAAAACAGACCACTTGGGAACACCGTTCCACCAGAGCCAGATGCAGATAAGTCTGAAAATGAGAACATTGAAGTTCCTGCGGAGGAGGTACAGAGGGAAACAGACCCTGAGGACAACGACGAACCAGCAGCTCCACTTCAACCTGCAGACGCCAATGAGGGAGAAGAGGATGAGCCCGAGGTCCGGAGGTCCACTCGTGCCCGCAGGCCACCGCAGATGTTCACCTACAATTCCCTGGGCCAGCCAACATTCCAGTTCCAGCCGCCACCAGCTGTCCATGCAGTCGAAGCCTTCTTGCCACCAGCGGTGCCTTTCTGGGGAATGGACCCTAACTCAGTGATATATTGTGCACCAACATCATATGACTCTAACTCAGTGGGATACTGTGCTCCAACGCCATACAGACTTGTTCCTCAGCAGCATGCATATCCAGGAATATATCCTTTTTCGGCTCCAGTTCATCGGATGCCTGCTTATTAGTAAAAGTAAGGACAATGATAGATGAAAGTAATGGTTTCACCATTTTTGTTTTTGTAAATGTCCGGAGTCATTTTCTGTTGTCAGGGAGCGTGTGACGCACACAAAATGTGCAGTCACATTTTATGGTGTTTTAGTTTAAGATATCCTTTATCTTAACTCAAAATTAGCTCCTTTATTAGTGTAATAATGTGTTTTTGTTTGTTTAGAAGTAATTTTCACATTTGCGGGTGCGCCACCAGGGGGCAGTGTCGTGAGTAGTAGCGGGACTTTCCACCAGGGCCCATCTTGGAGAGTCTTTGGTCCGCTCCATTTTATAACATGAAGCGAGGCTGCACTGAACGGATGCTCACGCTGTCGTCTCTTTCATTTGTCCTGTTTATTCAGGTAATATAATGTAAAACACATTGAAAAGTACATACAAGATGACTGTATATTGTTTTGGTAGTAGATTGCCATTTTGTCAGTGTGTGTTTAGAGGTTTACACCACGTTAGACCTCTGTTTTAGAGTTTAGCAGTTCACTAGGAGGGAACATGTGGTTTTGTAATGGCGGCGCCACCCTTGTAACATGGACTCGTGCGTAGTAAACATGTAGTAACTTTTGAGACTTTGTTTATGCTCAGGAACCGTTTTTCTAGTTTGTTTATTGTGTGTAAAGTTTATTAAGAAAATGTGAAATATGTTTTAGAGCAGACCAGACTTACAACCATATATTAGATCCGTTTAGCTAGTTTTTCAAGTAACATAATGGACTTGGTTATTGTATAAATGTATACAGAAGAACATATTTTAGTTAATATGCAATATTGGTATGTAGTTAAATGTGCGTAAGATAAGTGACCACATTGTAAGAGACCAGATATTGAAGTAACATGATTTTAGAATTGGAATAAATTAGATTAGAGACATAATTGATAGATAGTACACAAATTGAACATGTAAATTGTAATTGAATATTTTTGTTATTAAATAACATGAAGCGAGGCTGCACTGAACGGATGCTCACGCTGTCGTCTCTTTCATTTGTCCTGTTTATTCAGGAGTATTCTTCTGTGCGGGTCTGCCCCCTAGACCGGACCTGTAACAGTGGGTAATAGTTTCTTTTTGCTTTATGTTAATGCTAAATAGTTACAGTTAGTCGTGAAAAAGTCACACAAACAGAATCCCTGTCGTTAATGATTTTTTTTTTGTCAAAGTTGTGATTTTGATCGAAATTTGGACATTTTAGCCTGATGTACCATGTTTGAAGGTTTCTAATTGCAGAACTACCTATTTCATCAAAAACCAAATTACTTAGCCATAGAGATCACACCAAAAATTATGTATTCCTGGAATATTACTATTATTGAAGAAATATTTGAATATCCAAAATTATACTGAAAAACGATGACATTCAAATTTGGGCACGAAACTGGAAAAACTACCATAAACTGATTTTATATCTAATGATTGTTGACTTTCCTTTAAATACCTCAAAGATGATGAATTGAAATGACTAATAAGTACTAAAAAATTTAATGCATTTCTAGATCTAAATATTGCAAAGTAACATAGTTGACTATACAACAAAGGAAAATATGTATGCCACTGTACATACATAGACAATTATTTCAGAGGGAATTTTGTGCGTGAAAACAGGAGCTAGAACAAATACATTATGTTTACACTTTTTTTCCATTTTATGTTCCCAGTACCACCTCAACAGAATCCCTGGATTTCTCCCAAGGACAATAAAAACTACAATACTATTATGACCATTTACATTAATCCAACATATGTAATCATATTAATTACATATTAGGCTTAAATATGTAGACATGTATAGCAATCAAACACTAATCATTATATTTACATTATACTGCCTTTGACTATTTATTCATGTCAATGTCAAGTTTATTTCTATAGCACATTCACAACAACAAACGCTGCCCAAAGTGCTGCAAGAAGAATTAAATACACCTCACGGTGATACTTGGACATGTCACACTTGGACCTGGGGTCATAGGGTGTTTCGGGTCTTTAATTATTGACACCCTCGCCCGGCGACCAAGTCAGTGGTGATCAGTGCCTGGCTTGTGTCCAATTAGCGCACCACGGATCCCCGCTACGGAACCACAGCCACCGGGAAGCCTTTTCTGCGGCATTCAGGATGTTCTTGGGGGCTCTTCTTGACTTCAGTCCTCTAACTCCAAGGATTTTGAACACTTCCTGCAGTGAAAGACCTGCAAAACCCCTACATCCAATCTCTACTGGTTCGCAACGGGCTCTCCAGCCATTGGACCGGCACTCTGATAAGAGCCCGGTCCTCCCTGGGAACTGTTAGCTCCAGTAGTACCACTTGGTTGACTCAGATGTTAACACCGTGTCTGGGCGGAGTGCAGTGGTGGCGATCATTGCCGGGAATTTAAGTTTCCTTCCCAGGTCAACTTGGAGCTGTCAGTCATGAGCAGTGGCGAGGAGCCCCCCGAAGAGTGTGAGCTGAGGTTGGCTTTCTGTCCTTCTCTGCTTTTGGGCAACGTGGGACTTGCTGTTTTGTATCACTGCACATTTTCAATCTGCCAGGGGCTGTAAGACTTGGTCATGGCCACCAGCGATACCGCCCATCCCCTCGAGCTTGGGGCAACCGCTCAGGAGCCCCTCCTCTGGCACAATTTGCAATCCGCGGTGTCTGCCAGGCCCCAGGTGTGTAGGTTGGCCGGACTTGGGAGGAAATCATACACAGACTGTGTGAGGAATTTTCTGCACAGAGGTTCTGTGTGTTCCCACCTTGTACACTCCCCTTGCTTGAACATGCCGACCATCCTGCTGCGACATTCTTCCTCCACATGCAGCGGGCCCGTTTGTAGGTTAGCTAGGGAAAGCTCCCAAGACCTGCCCTCCCCATTGCCACAGGTCCCACCAGGGTCTTGTGCCACATTCTTCCAGTCATGATGATAATCCCTGCTGAGGCGACCTTGACATCTGCAGAATCCCTGTACATCATTACTTCTCAGGTGCAGGTGACTTGGAATTCCTCCGACAGTCCCCTGAGAGGGAGGTGCAGCATGGTGGATTGACCATAAAGGGCTGCTCAAGGACCGAGGGAGACCCAGTCATTTCCTCAAAAACTGGCAGATGGTCTTCTCCAGTACCTCAACTGTTGTTATTGGTACCTCGTAGGGCGAGTTTGGCCCTTCTTGTACAGGGTGTTATGGGACCAGTCAATGTCCTCCCCCTGGATGTTCAGCAGCGTGTGGGAAAGTGGTTTTCTCCTGAAGTCGATTACCATCTCCTTGGTCTTACTGGTGTTCAAGCACAAGTGGTTGCGCTCACTTAAGTCGACATGATAACTGACCGGTATTCCAGTTCGTCCTCCTCAGACACACGACTGAGAAAAAGTTTTGGGCCATGCCACTGATGACAACAATGACTATACATTAATGATTATTATGCCCAATTTCACATTACCATAATAATCATTGACTGATGCTGACCATGCCACCCCCATGCTGACCATGCTGACCATGCCACGCCCATGCCATGCAGTCAGTCATTGTTCATTGCACATCATGTTGCATTCATTGATTGATAAATGATGATTATGATAATCCTTTTTTACTAACTTTACGTATAAAGAGGCATTACTCACCCTCTGCCGATCATTTCAGTAAGTAAGTGATCGTTATTAACGTATATAGCGCCTCAGACCAGAATCACAAAGAGCTTTACAATTGTTTTTTTTCTCTCTCCACACAGAGATGGGAGCAAGGTCACTACAGCTCGCTCCCATCAATCACATGCTAGCCCTATTGTACATGTTTTAGTGGTTGGGGAAACCGGAGCACCCGGAGGAAACCAGAGAACCCGGGAGGACACCGGAGCACCCGGAGGAAATCCTGGTTGCCTCTTGCAACCGGGGGCTGCCATCTTTGTTGACAAACACAACGACTCACTGACGTCATGTCCAAGAAATCCAGCGCTCTGATTGTTTGAAACTGGGTCAATGGTGATTTACATACTACTTTACATAATAAAAAGTCCTAATTTCAGTTGGCGCTAGCAAAAATACAACAAGGATTCTTTGTGTGGAAACTGTTCATATTGTTATAAGCTTTCAGAAAACTTTGAAAAGCACTATTACCCATGACGCTGGAACAGAAGTTAAAAATATTCAATCTAGCATGCGGCCTAATGGTAAGAGAAATTAGATTCAACAGGTATACCACAGGTGGGATGGATTCTAACCCTGACACAACAATTCATTGGTTTTTACATAGCGTGTTTCACAGCACTCAAAGAAGCTTCATATGACATTATTCATTCACTTCATATGGTAGTGATAAACTATTGTTGTAGCCACCGCTAGCTAGGCCCTCAGACCACCATCAAGTGCACAACAATAGTTTGGCACTTTACAGCTGCCGCTCTGTGGTACCTGGTGTACTTAGAGGTCTCCCATCACTTTCTGAAGGCTGCCAGGATCAGGTTTTCACAAGATGGATCCATTGAGGATTGCCACAGAGTTTTATAGCTTTAAGTTAAACCAATGAAAAATGGGACAAAAACTGAAGTGTTGCGTTTAATTTGTCCGCTGCCCTTTATCTCATTGACTGTGGTCCAGAGCGCGCCCACCTCTGCTTTTAAATGCCTCATTAACGCTAAAACAATTTCTGTTTTGAAGTCATGCCACAGCCACTCCCTCCCTTCCCTTCAAAAATAACCACAAAAATCAGTGAGCCAAGTCTTTTATTAACCAGGAACACTTCGCCTGTTTTCCACCTAATGAAATATTGATTTGAAAATTGTATTGTAAAACTCCCAAAGTGCTTCGAGCTGGCTTCATCAATTATGTTATAATGCTATTATTTGAACCAATTTCCCTAGACCTTTTTTTGTTTTGTGACAAGCCTTATATTCCTCAATAAAGAAATCCACAGGGTTATGTTTTGCAAATTAAAATGACGGACTCAAACTGTGCGGAAACTCGAACAGCTGGAACTGAATTATGCTTTTTTCTTTTCATTTTAAAAACTATATTTCTAAATTTATTTCACAATCACTGGGTCGGTAGTAATGAATTTGCATTTCTCCTGTGTCTGAAAGCGGGGCCAACCGACAACCTCATGAATGAAAAATGATTTATTTGAATGTGTCTGCAGCCTCTATCCGCCTGCAGGGTTCTGATAAGGAACTAATCCAAAAAACACATTTAAATCTGGTTTCTGGTGCATTGGTTTGGTTATGATTTTGGTTTTTCACAAAAGCTCAGGTACAAAAATTCAGTTACTTCAATGCTTCAATTGTGTATAAATAAAACATTTAATTCATTGAAGTGAATGGTAAATGACAGTATGACTTTCATAGTCGGAGCTGCAAATTGCCCGTCCTCCTCCAGGTTCTAGAGATAATATTCATGCATGCAATTTCCTCATAGGGGTATTCAAACAAATATGTATATTGCTACAGTTACTCTATAAACCGTAAAGTTACATGATTTTACTGCAATAATTATTCTTAAGTACTGTAAATTCCAGACTATACAAGCCACAGGTTTTTTCCCTTACTTTGACTGCTTACAGTGAGGTGCAGCTTAGTTTATTTATTTTTTTTGGGTGCCAAAAACATTTTGCCAAGACCAAGTAGTTCACAGATGTCAAATTAAATTGTATATGTCAATCAGTCATTTGTATTCGCCCTCATCAACATGAAAAATAGTAGAAGTATAAATAATGATAAATTATTAATGATTTTTAGCATTACCAATACAAATATATAAACAAAATTGGTTGTTACAAAGCAGATTAAATACAGTTTAAAAGTCCTCCATTATAATATCTTTGTGTACGTATCACAAATAATACATTGTTTTTTGGTTCTTGGTATAGACGTCAAAGTGAACAGAGTAGGCAAGGCAAGGCAAGGCAAGTTTATTTGTATAGCACAATTCATACACAAGGCAATTCAAAGTGCTGAACAGAACAAGAAAGCATTAAAATCATAAATAATCACGGTACATTAAAAAAAAAGAAAGATACAAATATAAAATCCCTCAGTTGTATGCACAGCTAAACAGAACTGTTTTCAACCTTGTCTTAAACATTGTCAGAGAGGAGGCCTGTCTCACATCTTCAGGAAGACTGTTCCAGATTTTAGCAGCATGAATCTGAAAAGCAGCCTCCCCATGTTTAGTTCTGACTCTGGGCACTAACAGGAGTCCAGTCCCTGTGCTCCTCAGAGTCCGGGCTGGTTCATATGGGACTAACATGTCACTAATATAGTTTGGTGCGAGGCCATGGAGAGATTTGTACACAAGCAGAGCTGTTTTAAAGTCTATTCTCTGAGCCACAGGAAGCCAGTGCAGGGACCTGAGGACCGGACTAATGTGGTCGTACTTCCTGGTTCTAGTCAGGACTCGAGCTGCTGCATTTTGAATGTACTGCAGCTGTTTTACAGCCTGTTTGGACAGACCTGTGAGCAGGCCATTGCAGTAGTCTAACCTACTGGAGACAAATGCATGGATAAGAATCTCCAAGTCTGCTTTAGACACTATGTTTTTAATCCTGGCAATGTTTTTTAGATGGTAAAAAGCTGCTGATGTTACTGATTTGATGTGGCTATTAAAATTTAAGTCTGAGTCCAGTATTACCCCTAGATTTCTGACCTTGTTTGAAGGTTTTAGGGAGAGAGACTGTAGGTGACAGATGACGCTCTCTCTTTGTTTCTGGGGACCCAAGACAATCATTTCAGTTTTGTCTGCGTTTAGCTGAAGGAAGTTGTTTTGCATCCACTCACTGATCTGTTGGATACAGTGAAGGAGTGAGTCCACTGGTCCATGTTCTCCTGCAGTCAGTGAGACATAGATCTGAGTGTCGTCTGCATAGTTATGATAGGACACTTTGTTTCTGCGTATTAACTGACCTAACGGCAGCATGTAGAGATTGAACAGAAGAGGTCCCAGGATCGACCCCTGTGGTACTCCACAGGTCAGGGCCATATGATCTGAGACACAGTCTCCAATCTCCACAAAGTACTTCCTGTCTTCAAGGTAAGACCTAAACCAACTTAGGGCGGTGCCAGCGACTCCAACCCAGTCCTCTAGTCTCTGTAAGAGGATCTCATGGTCGACGGTGTCAAAGGCAGCACTCAGATCTAACAAGATTAAGATTGAGACTTTGCCTGCGTCAGTGTTCAGCCGGATATCGTTTGT